CCAGCCTTGTCTACATAGATACTACTGGCCAGCCAAGGCTATATAATGGGAACTTGTCTCAAAACAAAGAAACAAAAAACCCATATCAAATGTAAAGACAAGCAAAAAAGTGAAGCTGAAACCCCTTCATTGACCAACAACACTGGACTGGGCACACAGGGAGCAGTAACTCTTCTCAATAGCTATCTCTCCGCTATTGAGAAGAGATATCTCTAAGATTTTGCTTCTTGGTCCCAACAATCCAAATGCTCTCCTCTGCTTTATTTTTCCTTCTTGGCTTCTATTAACCTATTATACTGGGCAACTGTCCCTTATGATTTTGAGACAGTAAAATACTTGGCCAACCAGTATTTCTTTTTTTCCAGTTTATCTGATGGTTCAGGACACTGAGACAGTTTAGGGGCTGTGACTGTAATATGAAAAGGGAAGACAGGGGGCCTAAGTCAGGGCAGACAAGCAGAAGGCGTGGTAGCAATACAGCCTCTGTGACTGCATCTAGAAAAGGGCGTGTGGGTTAGCTCAGTGGTGCATCATTTTTCTGGCATGTGAGAGGCCTATTAACACATACATACATGCATGCACACACACACAATATTGTGAAAGGTCTCAGTCTATTTGTCATTTGTATATAGGGAGGCCACTGATTTTGTGTGTTAATTTTGTATCCTGCTACTTTGCTGAAAGTGTTTATCAACTGTAGAAGTTTACTGGTGGAATTTTTAGGGTCGTTTATGTATAAAATTGTACAACTGCAAACAAAGCAATATTTACTTCCTCCTCCTTCCCTATTTGTATCCCCCCCCATCTCCTTCAGTAGTCTTACTGTTCTAGCTAAGACTTCAAGTACTAGAATAGGTATGGAAAGAGTGGGCATCCTTGTCTTGTTCCTGATTTTAGTGGAAATGCGTTGAATTTTTCTTTATGAGGGCTTACTGTAAACTGCCTTTATTATGTTCAGGTATGTCCCTTGTATATCCAGAATTTTTATAATGAAGAGGTGTTGAATTCTGACCAAAGGTATTTTCTGCATCCAATGAGATGATCACATGGTTTTTGTTTTTGTCTTTCAGTATATTTATGTGGTGGATTACACTTACCAATTTATGTATGTTGAACCATCTTTGCATCTCTAGAATGAAGCCTAGATGATCATGGTGGATGATATTTTTGGATGTGTTCTTGTATTCAATTTGTAAGTATTTTATTGAGAAAAAAATGTTTTTAAAGATTTGTTTATTTTTTATGTATATAGGGTTCTGCCTGCATGTATGCCTGCAGGCCAGAAAAGGATGTGTCATTATAGATGGCTCATACACCATGTGTTACTGGGAATTGAAGTCAGGACCTCTGGAAGAGCAGCCAGTGCTCTTAACCTCTGAGCCATCTCTCCAGCCCTTATTGAGAAATTTTGCATCTATGTTCATAAGGAAATTTTTTTTGTGTTTTTTTCTTTGTTGTATCTTTGTGTGGTATCAGGATGACTATGGCCTCATAAAACAAATTAGCCAATACTCCTTCTGTTTCTGTTTTGCAGAATATTTTGAGGAATGATGGTGTTAATTATTCTTTCAATGTCTGGTAGAATTGTGTGTTCAATCTGTCTGGCCCCGGGCTTTTTTTGGTTGACTTTTAATTATTGCTTCTATTTCACTAGGGGTTATCAGTCTGTTTAAATTGCTTATCTGATATTGATTTAACATTGGTAGGTGGGATGTATCAAAAATTATTCTGTTTCTTTCAAGTTTTCCAATTTTCTGGAATACAGATTTTTTAGGTATGTCCTATGGTTCTCTTAATTTCCTCATTGTCTGTTACGTCTCCCTTTTCATCTCTAAAATTTTATTAATTTAGATCTTCTCTATCTTTTAGTTAATTTAGGTAAGGGTTTATCAACCTTATTTTCTCAAGGGACCAACTTTCCTTTTTTTTTTTTTTTTGGTGTTGTCTGTTTCTGTTTTATAGATTTCAGCCCTGTTTGATTATTTCTTGCCACCCACTCCTTTAGGGTATTATTATTGTTGTTCTAAAGCCTTCAGGTGTGCAAGAAGTTGCTGACAGAAGATCTCTCCTTTTTAATAAAAATGTAGGCAGAGTGCTGTATGAACTTGCCTTTTAGAACTGATTTCACTGAGTCCCATAGGTTTTAGTATGTTTTTTTCATTCAATTTTAAATGTTTTTAACTTCTCATTTCTGTCTGTACTAACTTTTCACTCAGTAGAGCACCGTTCTGTTTCCATGAGTGTGTGTGCTTTCTGCTGTTTCTGATACCCAGCTTTAATTGTGGTGCATGGGATGCAGAGTTATTTGAATTTTCTTATATCTGTTGAGACTTGTTTTGTGTCTGAGTATGCAGTCAATTTGGGGAAAGTTCCATAAACCACTAAGGAGAAGGTATATTCTTTGATGTTTGGGTGAAATGTTCTGTAAGTATCTGCTAGGTTTATTTTGTTTGTGTCATTTAACTGCAGCATTTCTCTGTTCAGTTTCTTCTGGATGACCTGCCTTTGGTGGAGCAGGGTCTGAAAATTGCCCTCTGTCACAGGGTGATTTTTTTAAAACATAAAATTAGCTGTAACAGTTTCCTTTTTGGTCTAGGATTATTGCTTGTGTTTTCTTAGGTGTAGTTAATCTTTTCAGATTGAATTTTTCTGTCTAGCACCTTCTGTAGAGCTAGATTGGCAGACAGATACTGTATAAATTTGTTTTTGTTTTTTTGTTATCATAGAAGGTATTTCTTTGTCCATCTATGTGATTGAAAGCTTTGCTGAGTAGAGTAGTCTGGACTGGCATCTGTACTCTGACAGTTTGTAGGACATCTGTCCAGGTCCTTCTGGCTTTTAGTCTCCATGGAGAAGTCAGGTGTTATTCTAATAAGTTTGCTTTTTTGTTATTTGGTTTTTTACCCCTTGCACTTTCTCATGCTCTTTCTTTGTTCAGCATGTGTAGTGTTTGATTATGTTATAGGGAATTTCCTTTCTGGTTCTATTTGGTATTCTGTATGCTTTTTGTACATTGATAGGCACCTCCTCCTTTAGGTTAGGAAATTTTTCTATAATTTTGTTAAAATATTTTCTGTGCTTCTGACTTTTCCTCTATTACTAATACTCCTAGATTTGGCCTTTCACAGCATCCCAATTTCCTGGATTCTTAGGTTCAACTTTTCTTTGATTGCCATATCCACTTCTACCTTGTCTTTAATGCCTGAGATTCTTTCTTCTATACCTTGTATTCTGTTGTCAAGGCTTATCTCTGAGGTTTTTGTTCAACATTCCAAATTTATCATTAAAAGTTTTATCTCAGCTTTTGATTCTCAGTTTAGTGATTCTATTTTTACTTTCATGTCTTGAACTCTTCATCATTTCATTCCATTGTGTTTTCACAAACTTCATATTTATTCATACTCCTTTTAAGGTCTCTGGACATATTCACAATGTCTTGTACTTCAACTCTTAACTGCATTTCTCATGCAGTAGGTTGCTGGGTTCCAGTAGATATATCATCTTGGGGTTTGTAATTGTGCTTTTCTAGGTATCTGGGTTTGGGGTGATTGACTCTTAAGTGTTGACATCTGGTCTCATCTTTGTTGCATGGGTGTTTTCCATTCCTTGGTATCTGCTGCCCTCTCTGGATCTTAGGAAAGTGTGGTAGCTATGGATTTCTTCTGAGTCCTTGCCAGGTCTGGCCACCTGGGGTCCCAGCAAGAATGTTTCTAGGTACTGGGGGCTGACACCAAAGAATGAGGATGGGCTAGACGGAGGCCTGGGAGGGTTCTCAGGAAGAAGAAGAGCTAGGTCCATTGCAAGGTTTGGTGGAGTCCCCAGGGAGTGAAGTCAGGGAGGGAGGACAGGCTCCTCCAGATGCTTCGCTAAAGGCTAGGGAAGAGAGTGGGTAATTCACAATGGAGGACAAGAAAGAGAATAAAGATCCTCTACTCAGTGTGTAGCCTGGCGTGGCCACTGGGTTTCCGGGTAGGCAGTGGTTCTAGCTTTGGCAGTTGACTCAAAGGGTCCAAAATGGCCTAAAATGTGGGACTGATAGGATCTACAGAGAGAAGGAAAGCTGGCTGCACCGTGAAGTATGGTGAAGTCCCTGGGGAATGGAAGCAGACAAGGAGGATAAGACCCAGAAGTGGTCTGTCACAGGGCTGGAAATGAGATGGGAATTTGCAGTGGAGGACAGGAAGGAGTGTGAAGACGGTCTACCTGATTTCCAGGCTGGTATGGCCAGCGGGGTTCCCAGGAAAAGTGTGCCTCTGACATGGCAGCTGGCACAAGGGAATGGATGTGTGCTCTAAGGGGTGGTGTGGGTGAGAGGGTCCATAGGAAGGCACAAAGCTAGGAGGTTCAGCAGAATCCCCGTGGGATCTTTTCCAATTTTTAAAGACGGGGTCTCATTATAGAGCCTTGGCTGTCCTGGAATTCATTATGTAGACCAGGCTGGCCTTGAATTCACAGCGCTCCACCTGCCTCTGCCTCCCAAGTGCTGGGATCAAAGGTGTGAGCCACCATACCCTGCTAATAGTGATTTATTTTAAAAAGTGATTGGTTGGTGGCAGAATCACTATTAAAGAAACAATTTAAACACATTTTCTACCATATTCAATACAATACAGAAGCCATAGGATACACGTCCTTCTGAAAGGACACTAACTTGTTGGGCTAACTTCTGAGCGAAGTGGATGAAAAGGTAGTTATATCCTCTTAGTTGGCTACTTGATTTAAACATACACAGAACTTCCCACCTTGGCTTGCTCGCTCTTCACACTCTCGGACTTCTTACGGCAGCGTGGGTGCTTCATTTGGTGATTATCTGGAGACATGCAGGCTGTAGTGACAGTCCCATCACACCCAACTCGGGTATGAGGGCCTCATGGCCCTTGCAGTCAACCCTTTGCAGATGTAATTTTCTCATCAGATATTAGGATCCAGGGCTCTGGTTCTACATAGTCATTCAAAAACATATCACTCCCTTCCCAGACAACTATTTTATACAACAAGAGTTTTACAAATCCAAAATAATTTTATTCACTTTTTCAGATTTTTTTGCTTTCATAAGGTGTTTAGCAAACATGCTAAGGCGACAGAATGTCTAGTTGGTCATGACATGCAACGCTGACCACTTGAATGATGATAGTGGCAACCACACCCACCCAAGCTACGGGCCCCAGAGCACAAAGGGGGTCTGCAGAAACACACTGAACCACACAGCAATCAGCAACCTGAGGTAGGTCTCTTTACAGTACAAAAAACTTCTATACCAGTGTGAGACACTGATTAGCAAGAGCTGCTGAGGGGTGCAGGCTTTGCAGAGGAGACTGAAGTGAGGAAGAACGGACCCCACACTCCTGAGCCCTGTCACTGAACTCTGGATGTGTGGGGTCAGGCAAAAAAAAAAAAAAAAAATGCCACCTACAACAGCAGCAGTGGACCCCAGGGCTGGGAGCCAACTGGCCGAAGAGCTCGGGAGCTCTATGGTGGCCAGCGTCAGGAACCTGAAGCATGGGACGCCAGGAGCAGACTGGATCTTGCTTAGAAACAACAGCAGAAGGAGGAAGGCAGAAAGAAACTCTCCCCTCTGGAGAACGCTGGGGTTCTCATTCCTGAGAGGAAAAAGGGGCGAGGCTTTGCCCCACTGCTCTGACATAGACAGGAAGTGACACCAGGATAGGAAAGCAGGAGCCCTGAGAATTCACGGTGCTCTGCATGGCCTCCTGCAGCCCAGCTACAGGGGTTCCCACTGGGGAGTCCATGGAGCAGGCTATGGAGGGCCCACTGCTGCTGTGTGGCTCCCTCTGGACACCCAGAGAGCCCAGCACCGTGAAACGACCAGCTAGAGAGGAAGCACTGCCTTTCCTACAGCTAAGAGCAAAATGAGATCTCTAGTGCAGTCAGCTGTACAAAAACGATAGAAATGAATGTGCACTGCTGTTAGCACAGTGCTCGCTTTAATAGAAAATAAACTGCTTACATTTTTACTGTAAATATAGGCTATATACAGAATTATATATAGACATAGCTACACATATAAAGCTTCATTATAGGCCACTGATACATTTATAGTAATGGTTCCCTGAACCTCTTAAGAGTGCAATTAAGAACAAAAACTAAATTTCATTTAAGTGAATAGGGAATAAATACAATAATCAAAATATGACTTTCCCTAAAAGTGAAACACAGCTAATCCTGAACTGTTGTGTAAGAGATAAAACTGGGAAAGGCAAGGTTTCAGCAGGACAGGATGAAGGGCCCAAACCAGGAAGAGAATGGCAATGCTCTGAGGAGGAGACTTCACAGATGGGAGGAGTCAGCCCTTGACAGCCACCTTGTTCTCTGCAGCAGCAAACATGGCATAGAACCTGGAACTGTCATTGGACAGAAGGACCGATGGGGTGTCAAACTCCACCACCTGCAAAAAAGGAGACACGTCAGGGTGTGATTCCGGGATGGTCTCATGGGCTCAGAGGATGCACTGCTCAGCAACAGCGCCCTGGGAAGCGATGGAGGACAGCTGAGCTGACCCACGGTATACAGGGAAGACATCCTAGCCCTCTCATCTTGGGAATAAAGAAACTCAATAGGTATAGTGCTATAATATAAACGATGGAGGAACTACAGCTCAGGTTAAGGACAAGTTGATCTGACTGTAATCAGAAGAGGAAGAATCAGGGTGCCTAGTTGGCAGAGAGAAAAAGGGAGCAAGGAGTCAACACGCCAACTGTCACTCCTGTGATGGGCTTTGTGCAGCAGCAGAGTCCTGCTGCATACGAATGAAGAATCACCTCAGCACTGCCTTCTGTTACAGCAGCCATAACCTGCCTTAGCTTTTCCTGTCTCATTTGCCTACATCAGCGGTTGTCAACCTTCCTAACACTGCACCCTTCAAGACAGTTCCTCGTGTCCTGGTGACTCCCAACCTTAAGATGACTCCACTTCTATTTCATAACTGTAATTTTGCTACTGTTATGAATAGTAATGTAAGTATCATCTGATATGTGACCCAAAGGGGCTACGGCCCACAGGCTGCGAATTGCTGACCTAGAACAAATGCTGGTTTCACGGTGATGGCCAGAGAGATGGCAGGGATCTGTCTCAGTGCTCCCAGCAAAGGGCAGCCTGCTAATGGAGAGGAGCATAAGGAGAAAGTCTATTCTGTAGACATGGTGGCGAGGTGTAATGGTGGTTGCCAGAGATGGTACCTTGTGTGTGGAGAGGAAAGGCAAACACTGGCTGCAGGGCCTGGGATGGCCAAGCTGCAGGCCAGACACAGCCTACTGCCCTTGAGGCTGACAAACGCCCTTCCCCGGGTTTGTCTAAGTCTATAAAAAAGCATCTGTTTCACCTGTGTGTTAATGATGTAAGAAAACTGCTAGGACGTGACAGTGATTTACAACGCTGTCTCATCTCAGGCAGGCTGCTGGTCGTGGTGGCAATGGTGTGTAGATGACCTGCAATCTTGGTTTTGCCTTTATATTTGTGTACTCTTTAACAGTAATAACTTGGAAAAGTAATACTAATAAGAACGGCACACGGTATCTACCTTTGCTGAATGTCTCTGCTGGTACTGTGTTTAGCGCCCTAAGTCTCGCCACTCAGCTTGGGCTCAAACCTCAAGACCAAGAGGGACAAAGAATGCTAACTGCTGGGCTGGAGAGATGGCTCAGTTGTTAAGAGCACTGGCTGCTCGGCCAGAGGACCTGGGTTCAATTCCCAGTACCCACATGGCAGCTCACAACTGTCTGTAACTCCAATTCCAGGGGATCTGATACCCTTAAATGGACATACATGCAGGCAAAACACCAAAGCACATTAAAAAAAAAAAAAAAAAAAAGAATGCTAACTGCTTTCAGGCAAGGAGACCAAGGCTCAGAAACTGGACCTCCACAGTCACAGGGAGTAAATTATTTCATTAACAAGGAAAAAGCAATCAAGGGAAAGGAAGATAGAGTTTCTTTTAATTTTTTGAGACAGAGCCTCATATCCTGCAGGCCGGACTATATGACTCAGTGTTGTCTACACAGGCGCCGCGTAGACAACATGCCTACTTTATGAATCAAACCAGGCTTGTGATGCTAGGCAAGCTTCTTACTATCTCGCTGCCCAAGGGTTCCTCATAAAGAACTGATCACTCCAGGACCAACACGGTGGCATTCGCCTTGATCCCATCATGCTCCAGGCAAAGGCAGAAGAATCTCTGAGCTTAAAACCAGCCTGATCTCCATAGTAAAACCCTGCCTTAAAAACAAAATAAAACCTTATTAAAACCCAGCTTGCCCTGGGGACAAAATAGTTTGCTTATGAGTCTTAAAAAAAATTTTCCCAGGTTTTCTCAGTTCCTTCAAACTTTAAAAAAGTTGTGTTCTATTTAAATATCTATACACACAGTAATGGGACTGTGTATCAACTGTTTGACAGAATATCAGCACTAGAACAAGGACAGTGCCCTGGCTAGTTTTATGTCAATGTGATACAAGCTAAAGTCACATGAGAGGATGGAACCTCAATAGAGAAAATGCCTCCATAAGATGGGGCTGAAGGTAAGCCTGAAGGGCATTTTCTTAATTAGTGATTGATGCTGGAGGGCTCAGCCCATGTGGCTAGTGTCATCCCTGGGCTGGTGGTCCTGAGTTCTATAAGAAAGCAGGATGAGCAAGCCACTGGGAGCAAGCCAGTAAGCAGCACCTCTCCATGGCCTCTGCCTCAGCTCCTGCCTCCAGGTTCCTGCCCTGCTTGAGCTCCCATCCTGACTTCCTTCAGGGATGAACAGTGCTATTTAGAAGCGTAAGCCCCTCCCCAACTTGCTTTTGGTCACAGTGTTTCATCACAGCAATAGTGACCTAAGTCACAGAAAATTAATGTTAAAATGATCTCAATATAAGGAAAAAATTTACTTTCTTAACTCAGCTTCCAAGATTAGATAAGACCCCCTTATCAATGGCTCAATATGACCTATAAACCAAGAGACAATGTGGTATTGGGAGTCATCAGTCTGAGTTCAGTGCCAACTCCTCTACCTTCTGTGGCCCCAAGGGAGCTAAAACTCCTGTGCCTTGGAATCTTCATCTATAACACACATGAAAGGAATGCTCTCTGCTCTTTTGCAGCTGTGAGGAATTACTGAATGCTGAAAGCTGAAAACGAGATATAGCTCACTGAGCACTGACCACCCCACAGCCTAAACACTCAGTAGAAGCAGATATTTTATAATATGTATCTACTATATTGTATTTTATAATATGCATCTATTATAACATTATATATATTATATATATCTAATATAACATAATATTATATTATATAAGAAGCCCAGTAACCCACTGTACATGGTACATTTCATACACAAAAAGTCCACATAACTATACTTAACAGCTAGCTACTGTGCAAAGAACTATAACAGTGAGCGCTAGTGGGGACCCGAAGGTGAAGGAGACTGAGTCCCTTTCTTAGAGAGCTTACAGGGCCTCTCCAGGGAAGCAGTGTATCATACAGAAGAGGTGAAAGGTCTACAATGGATAGATAGGCAAGGCCCCAGGGACATAAGTCATGTCCTCCTTCAGGGCCAGGCAGGCTTTAAGCTAGCACATGGAATGGTCTGTGTACAGCAAAAGTGAGAAAGCACAGAGGACCTCTAAGGCAATGGCATCTGAGCATGAAGTGAAGAAGGCTGGGATTGAACCAGACCATGCGGAGTGTGGAGAAACTGGATGAGGAGTTGGGTGCCATTGCATGGTAGGAAAAAGCAAACCCAGGGTGGCCCTGGCCTATGTCACTGCTTACAAGCCACAGAAGTCATGAAAGCATCTCCCAGGATGTAAGAACCTGTCCAATCAACACGAACCAGGACTAAGCCGCTATGGCTGCTTTGTGAATGCCCAGGAACATGAAGGTGGCAGGCAGCCTCTCACCAATGGGAGCCTCTTTTCCTCCCACACAAAGTCCCGTGCCACTCAAAAGCTCCCACAAGAGGCTAATACCTGTCCCTGAGCCAGCACCATAATCCTATCAGAGCCCAGAACTGTGTGGAGGCGATGGGCAATGGTGAGCATGGTGCAGTCTGCAAACGCTTCCCGGATGGTCTCTTGAATCAGCAAGTCTGTCTCCGTGTCCATAGCAGCTGTGGCTTCATCTAAAATCAGAATCTGCCAGGGAAGGAGAGGGCAAACAGCTCCAATTATTTCCTAAGCATCTTATTAACCTCAGTTTACTGAAATGCATTTCAGTATTTAAATCCTATACTGTACTATTTCTTCTTAGTAGGTTCACACCTGTATGTGAAATGGCCTTTGCTTAGAATTCACGTAACTCATGCAGCCGTGACCTAATCAAACACTCCAGCTTTCTCTGTGACCATCATGTGTGGATTAGCTTTTCTGGACCTTTCCTTTCCTGTTTGTGGAATGAGGAGTTCATGAGGGTTCCACCTGATGAGGTCTCCTGCAGGCTTTAATCTGCTGGGTCTGTACTTCTACAGCAACCCCTTAGCCTGAAACAAAGTTGTTCTTGAATTCCAAAGGCTTGGGGGACATTAAAAAACAAAATAAAGGAGGCGCTATGAGGAATGTGCTCAAAATATAGTACCTACACATGCAAAAGCTTGAAGAAAAAAGTTGAAACACAGATCCCTCGAACCAGTGTGCCAAGTGGTGTTAAGATTAATTTAGAAACTGCTGCTCAGAAAGTGTCACTGGGCAAAAAGCCTGAGCCTAGCGCTCTGGGCAGGCTGCATCCCAGGCCAGCTCCTCCCGCCTCTCTACACCCCAAGCCACCTGCATGTGTGCACCTCACCTTACAGTGACGCAGCAGGGCCCTGGCTATACACAGCAGCTGCCGTTCTCCCACTGAGAAGTTGTCCCCATTCTCCATCACTTCAGATTCAAGTTTCAGAGGTAGCTGGGCAATCTAGAAAGAGATCAGAGGTGAGAAGTGTAGGGATAGGAATCAAACCTTTCCGAAATCTAGCGGTTGTGGTGGCTCACACAGTAATCCAGCACTTGGGGGGCTAAGCCAGGAAGTTCAAGTCAGCAGGAGTTACACAGTGAGACCCTATCTAAACCCACCCCACTCCACCCCTGAAAAGAAAGAAATATCCTGAAACAGAGGAAGAGTTACTCTGGTGTAAAGGACCTATGTGGTCACACATGTACCAGGACCTATATTTTCTAAGGCAGTTCATGATAGTAATATGTGATTCTGTTACTGTCATATCATGAAAATACCCAAGAAATGTAAGATCCCATTGGAGAGTGGCTGCTTAGTATAGTTTTGCAGAAAATGGGGTCCCACTCCCAAAGTCTAAAGCCTGGCCTACACTGGCAGCCTTTTCTTTTTCTAAGCATCATGGAACCTCTTCTTCGTATGAAATTGAGGCTACTCTATGTAAGATGGAAGCAAGGCTCATCTAACTGATTGGGGCAGTGAATGCTGAACTTGGGCTACAGTGATCCCTCCACTCAAGACCAGTGGTGCCCATCTGCAGACTGGCAAGGGTCTCCTAGGTTGCTCCATGACATCTCTGATCTATGGTACATTGCATGTTACTGAACCAGCAATAAATTATAGATCTTTTGTGTATATGTGGATGTTACACTACTGATAGAAATTACTAAGTTCTGACTAGCCATCATTCATATATTCTCAGTCAATGGACACTATGGGGACAATATGGCCATGAGCAGTATTTATAAGTAGGGCTGAGAGACCAACTTTAACATTTTGTTTATTACATTTGTGTGTGTGTGTGTGTGTGTGTGTGTGTGTGTGTGTGTGTGTGCGCGCGTGTGCGAGAGAGAGAGAGAGAGAGAAGGAAAGAGAGACACAGAGAGAGAGAGAGATACTGCGGGTATCTCAGACACTTGTGGAAATTGGTTCTCTCCTTTTTCCATGTCACCCTGGAATTTGAATTCAGTGGTTAGCGACTTGGTGGCACCTTTACCAGCTAAGCATCTCACTGGATGAGACACTGACTTTGGCAAACATGTGATATTCTTGTGAAACTCCTGCATAAAAGTATTCTTTAAAAAAAAAAAAAAAAAAAAAAAAAAAGCCGGGCGTGGTGCATCTCTTTAATCCCAGCACTCAGGAGGTAGAGGAGGGTAGATCTCTGTGAGTTCAAGGCCAGCCTGGTCCACAGAGTGAGCCCCAGGACAGCCAGGACTACAAGAGAAACCCTCTCTCAAAAAAACCAAAACCAAAAGCAAACACATTTTTGCACAGACACGCTGGAGTTGGGGGAAGGATGGCTGCTGGTGAGAAGACGCCAGCAGAATGAGCAGCACGCCACGTTCCCAGCCTAAGGATTCGAGCACAGCCCTCCCTCAGTTCACTTACACACTCCTTCATGTGCGTTCTCTCTAGGGCATCCCAGATCTGGTCTTCCGTGTACTGGTTGAAAGGGTCCAGGTTTGATCTAAGGGGAAGTATAATAGAAACTGTTCAGAGGCCAATGCTTAACTTACCACTTTTTTGTTTGTTTGTTTTTTGAGACAGGGCTTTTCTGGCTGTCCTTTAACTTGCTCTGTCAACCAGGCTGGCCTTGAACTCATGATCTGCCTTTGTCTGCCTCTCAAGTGCTGGATTAAAGGTGTGTGCCACCACCAACTGGAAACAAACTACATTTCAGTGGCTGTCTGTGGTCAAAGAACACACTGAAAACTGGATTACCATTCTGAAGATCACAGGACAGCATAACCTAAAGTTTATCATTTTTATTACTCAAGTAACAAAGTTAGCTGTAAAAGTTTATAAATACAAATATAAAAACACAATGGAGAAAGAAGGTGGTGCAACTCCTGTAATCCCATCACTTGGGAGGCAGAGGCAGGCTTCTTTGAGTTCGAGGCCAGCCTGGTCTACAAAGCAAGTCCAACCAAAACCACAGAGAAACCCTTTCTCAAAAAAAAAAAAAAAAAAAAAAAAAAAAAAAAAAAAAAAAAAAAAAAACATTATCTTTTAATCACTTCGAATAACACCTAGAAACATATTTTTTCAGATATCTCTCTTTATGTACAAATGTAGAAAAATGTCTTCTGTTTACTGATTCCTCCCAGATCCAACTCTCTTCACAATGAGCCAAGTATATCCTTAAAAAAAACAAAAACAAAAACAAAAAACAAACCATCAAGTACAATTTGTGTTACCCATATACTCTTGGATGCAGACTCTACTAGAGAATGATCGCCCAGCAGCTCCTTTGCTGGGAGTGGGACTTCATGCCCACCTACCCTCTCTGAACTGGAATTTGGTCTGGTTTGAGCTTGCCCGGGTCTTGTCATGCTCTGTCAACTGCTGTGATCTGTTGTGTAACTACCCTGCTGTGTTCAGAAAACATTGTTTCTTGTAATCACCCTCTGGCTCTTAACGATCTTTCTGCCTCTTTTGAGTCCACAATGATCCCTGAGCCTTGGGAGGAGGGGCTGTGAAATAGAAGTCTCAGTTAGGGCTGATCATTCCACAGTCTTATTCTCTGCACCTTGACCAGTTGTGAGTCTCTTCGTTAATCACCATCTACGGCAAACAGAAACTTCTCTGCTGAGGAGAAACTTGGATTAATCTCTGGGTATAATGATGAGTCATTAGACATCAGTTTAATATATGTCCATTTAGGACAGTAATAATAGATTCTCCTCTAGGGCCTATGATCAATCGAGCCACAGGTTCTTGGAAGCAATAAAGATGCCATGTATAGGTTTGAACTTGTGGAGCAGCCCTGAAATACAGTCAGAAACTGGTTGGTTATTCCATGATATTAGTGCCACTACTGCACCAGTGGGCATGTCTTGCCTAACCAGTCATTGGCATAGTTCACAGGGTAAAACTGGTGATTCCTTTTCTCCTCCAGTAGCATGTTCTGTGACTCAAGCGTGTAGTGCCCTCAGCAACAGGGTCTTACAGTCAGGTTCTGGAGGGTAATCAAGAGGAGCTGCAAAGTCCATCATGTTCTTTTTTGCTTCTTCATGTGGGGAGGTATGGGATCTCACCTGTCAACATCTCCAAAAGACATTCCATTCCTGGCACTGACAATTGACTTGTTAGCCTCTGGTGTCCAGTACTGGCATTTTGCCATGGTACAGGCAAATCCACGTTTTGTGTATGTATGTATTTTAGGAAGTTTCTCCAGCAGCTTCCATATTTTTTTGAACTGCTAGCCATCTCTCTCCATCCTTCGCTGCTTCATTATTATTCCTTCTTTTTCCCATTATTACTCTTTAATCCTCTGTACCGCTGCACTTTATCTCCCCTCTCTTGAAACATCCCCCTCCACTTAATTTCCTGATCTCCATGGGTATTTCTAATAAAATACACATATCCGGAGACTCAAAGCTGGCATCCACAAATAAGAAAAATACCTATGACCTTCATCTTTCTAAGTATAGGTTATCTCATTCAGAATGACTTCTTCCAGCTCTACCCTTTACCTATAAATTTTATATACATTTTTTAGATTCTTTTATTTATTATTTATATAGTATTGTGCCTGTATGTGTGTCTGCATGCCAGAAGAGGACAACAGATCTAGACAGGTGATGAGCTACTATGTGGTAAGCTGGGAATTGAACTCAGGACCTTTGGAAGAAGAGCCAGTGTTCTTAACCTCTGAGCCATTTCTCCAGCCCCATATAAAAATTTTTAAAGTTATTTTATTTGATTGGTATTTTGCTTACATGTACATCTGTACGCTATGTACATGCCTGGTAACCATGAGGGCCAGGAGAGAGTGCTGATCTGGAACTGGAGTTAGAGACACTTGGAAAGCCACCATGCTGGTGCTTAGAATTGAACCTGGATCCTCTGGAAGAGTAGACAGTGTTCTTAACCACTGAGCAATCTCTTTCCAGCTCAATTTCATTTTTCTGAATAGTTGAATAATATTCTGTCATGCAAATGTATCATATCCATTTATCATCTGATGGATATCTAAGCTGTTTTCTAGAGTTAATCAAGCAGCAATGAATGTGGATGAGTGAGTTTCTCAGCCTTCTATTTTGTCTTTTGAGAAGTCTGTTTAGTTCCATGCCCCATTTTTGTTGTTGTTGTTATGTTTTGTTTTGAGACAGACCTGAAACTCAGAGCTCCACCTACCTCTGCCACTCAAGTGCTGGGATTAAAGCTGTGAGCTACCATGCTCAGCTCCATGTCCCACTTTTTAAAATGAGTTATTTGTTTTCTTGATGTTTCTTTTTTTTTTTTTTTTTAAGTTCTAGAAACTAACACTCTGTCATATGTATAGCTCGTTGTAGTGGAAGTTTTGGTTTCTCTGTAAACTCAGTTATATTACGTAAATATGTTTTTGTTTTAACCCTAAATGTGGGATTTTAGTTGGGCTTTAGTTTGACCACGGCAGTTAGTTGTCTAGTGCGGGGCATGGATTTTGCCAGCTGGTAACGGCCTTCCTCTCAGCACAGAGGGGAGTGGTCTAGGGCTCTGAGGATATAAATATGAGAGCCCAAAAAGAGAATGTGTGGCATGCAGTGTTTGCACGTGGCATGTAGCAGTTTGGAGAGACCAGAGAGGTGGACAGTGTGGACAGATGGAAAGAAACGCTTCTGCTCAGGGCACAGCGGCTTAGAGACTACGTGTGGTGTTTGCTGTTGTAGTGATTAGGTATGACCCTAAAAGAACCCACAAGCCTCTACCTGGGGCCCAGCTGACCACCTGCTCCCTCCCCTGGGCTCTCTACTGCCCTAAGAATGGAGTGGAACACAGAGCTACCATTTGTCCAGGTGGTTCTTATCATCGACCAGGCTTGGAACTTACATTATGTTTGTGAATTTATTCAACCTACACCACAACAGGCCTTCAAAGTACCCACAGTTTAGGGGTGAGAAAACAGGCTTAGAGTTAAGAGTTCATGGGACAGAAATCTGAGTCAAAATCTCTCTAGTCTCTGGACCCCCTGTGGCAGAGCCTTGCTAAGATACCTGGTTAATTAATTACCATGTATAGCAGAAGCTGCCTCATCTCTGTAATAGGAACCAGAAAATCATGGGAAACACTAGACCCAACGACATGGGATTTCCACCCCAGGTGATGGTTCTGGCATCACCCAGTCCTAAGAGGCTAGGTTCTCACCTGACAGTGCCACTGAACAGTACGGGCTCCTGAGGAATGATGGACAGCTTGCTTCGGAGGTCGGCCAGGCCGATGTCACTGATTCTCACTCCATCAATCTTGATACAGCCTCCAGATAACTCCACCAGACGGAAGAGGGCCATCCCCAGAGAGGACTTCCCTGGGGAGTCAGCAGAGGCAGAGCAGAGAAAGATACAACTGGCTTATTGTGATGGCCATCGTCAACCTGGCTACATGTGGAAACAACTAAAACTGAAGAGCCGGGCACGTAGGTGAGGGCATTTCTTGACTGGATCCTTTGAGGTCTGAAGACCTAAACCTGGGCCACGCCTTTTGGTGGCAGCCCATATAACAGGCATGGAAGAAGGGAGCTTTTGCTTTTTGTCAGCTTGCCCTCCTTCTCCATGGCTAGCTCTTCTATCCTGCTATTAGGGCACTCCTTTGCCTGTGTCAAAACCTACTTCTTAAGGAATTCCACGTAGACTGGTGGCCACCTGAGACATACAGCCTTGTGGTCTGAACAACTACCAGGTTCTTGGCCTTTCTGTCATTTCAGCCATTGCTGGACTAGGCAGACCACAGCTTATGCCACTCTTAACTAAGTCCTATACACACAGATATCCACACCATCAGCTCTGCTCCATTAGTGAACTCTAACCAGTGCAGTCTGGTACCAGGAGTGGTTCTAGAGAAATAAAATTATAAGGCAATTTTTTAAGTATCTGGAATAGGATTTGCAATCTATCAATACTTAGTTACTGAAGGCCTTCCTAGAGGGCATGGAGAGTGCTAAAAATCCATGATGTGAATTATTCGAACAACTTGCTAAATTTGTGTTACCTCCACCACCGCACTCTATACCCATACTTTCCACATCTTCTTCCAGGGTCTTGGTGAGACCTCTGACCACTTCAGCCATGCCTTTTCTGCAACCCAGCAGGTCTATCCTGGGTCCTATAAACAGTCAGCAGCCTAGTCTAGGGTCAAAATCCTCCTAACCTATCCCCCAAACCACAGGACCCTCCCTCATCATATTCAACCTTTCTGCACAGACCTATCTACCCCCGCACTGTTGGCTGGGAACAGGAAGCACATCTTTTGTACCAAGGCAGTCTCTTCCGCCTGCCTAATTTCCTTCAACCCAAGCAATTTCCAACCTCTAGACTGAACCAACATCTTCTCTTCTCCCTGACCCTGTCCATCTATAACAAACTCAGAATAAAATGACCAAGAAGGTCCACATGCCCAAATCTCATCACAATATGAATACCAACAACATAAAAAAATCAAGTCAGTATCTTCTCCCCAAAACTTACCAGTTCTATAGAAATGCTTGCTAATTACAATTATCCAGGTGAACTTCAGGACACAAAACATAAAAGAACAACCATAAACCTCATTAAAGAATGAAACCAAGAAAAAAGAACCTAAGGAGACTACACTAAACACTTGAGTGAAACCCAAAAAAACAGACATAAAGCTGATGGAAATGACAGAAACTATCTAAAACTTGAGAACAGAATTCAATCAGGACATAGAAATGTTGCTCAAGCTGAAATGAAGATGGAATTGAAAAACCCCAAAGCACCACTAAAAGATGCAAAAGAAAAAAAAAAAAGCAGAGTAAGTCTGCCAGAAGACAGACTATCAGTTCTTAAAGATAAAATAGAGGATCTAGACCAAATGATCTGTTCTCCTGCAGGAACAAAATCCATCTATCTGCAGCCTACAAGAAACACATCTTAACTTTAAACACAGGCATTGCCTTACAGTGAAAAGATGATGGAAGTACTCCAATCAAAATGGGTTTAGGAAGCAATAAGACATCACTAGCTTAATAGCTGACAAAACAGACTTCAAACTAAAACTAATCAGAAGAGGTAAAAAACAGGACACTTCTCCTAACCAAGGGGACTGGTAACCAAGACGGTATCACTATCCTAAACATGTGCATCAAACATCAGTGTTTAAAAAAATCTACTACTGGATTTAAAGACACAGATGAACACCAATCTATTAATAGTAGGTGATTTCGATACTTAAATAAACTTCCTGGAACTACATGAAAATGAAAATACAACACAACAAAACCTCTGGGACACACTCAATAGTCCTAAAATGGAAATTTGTACTTCAAAGAATCTACACTAAAAACTTAGAAAGTACACAAATGGCTTACTGATGCAATTCAAAAAGTTAGAAAAACATCCAGGTGTGGTGGTGCATGTCTTTAATCCCAGCACTCAGGGAGGCAGAGGCAGGCAGATTGCTGTGACTTCAAGGCCAGCCTGGTCTACAAAGTGAGTCTAGGACAGCCAAGGCTACACTGAGAAATCCTGTCTTGAACCCAAACCCCCCAAATTACGAAAAAGAACAAACCAAACCCAATTCTAGCTACCTCACTCACACAACACACTCCAAGGATAAATACTGTCATCACATGACTGTCTTAACGTTCTTTGCCATCTATTAAGCTTTATCATGGCTCCTTAGATCAAGCTTCCTCTGAGGTACACTAACTGTTGTCCCATCTTCATTGTCCCTTTTTCCAACCACAAAACACTTAGGGTGGTTGATGCCTCTAAACCTTCAACAGCAGTTTAGGTGACTTCTCAAAGGGTACTAATGGACCATCCAACTCATCCCTCTTCTTGGTACTCTGGACATTTTTCTGGGACTGTGATGCCTAAACTGGGGTGTCAACTTGACTACATCTGGAACTAAAGTCCAAAAGTGGAGGGTTCACCTCTGAGGAACTTTTGCTTAATTTAAACAGGAAGATCCCCTTCTAACCTGGATCTTTGAGGCAGGAAGACAAACCTTTAATCCAGATCTTGAGTAAGAAAACACACCCTTAAACTAGATTAAATCTAGGCTACGTCTTCTGCTAGAGACCTATATATTATATAGTAATGACATAGAAGAGGGAAGTGCTCTCTTTTGCTTGCTTTCCCTCACCTCCCTAGCAAGTCCATTCCTTCACTGGCATTGATCTACTTCTTCGGGACTCCAGCATATCCTGAAGATCAGCTGAGACATCCAGCCTTGTGGACTGAACCACTACTGGATTCTTGGACTCTCTGTTCACAGCCAACCATTGTTGGATTAGCTGGACCAAAGCTTGCAAGTCATTCTAATAAATCCCTTTCTATAAAGACTCTCTATACTACTGAGATTCATTTTATAAATTCTGCTACTTTACAGAACCCTGATTAACTCAGGAACTCAGAACTAAAATAGCTAGGCTAAAGGCTTCTCTGCATCAATTAACTTTCTGTCTCACTAGCTCTCAAAGACCCTTAAAGAAACTTCAGATCTGCTTAACATCCTTCAGGATCAACTTGCTTCTTTGGCTGCTGGGGTACTCCAAAAGTAAAGGGGACTAGATCTGACTACTGCTATGGATGGGATCTGTGCCCTCATCCAGAAACAAAGATGCTTCACATAATATTTTGCCCTGTCTTTTAAACTTTTTAATGACATTCTTCCTGGATCAAATCACTGCCGTTACTAGTTCCACATTAGGAAAATGGCTTCACTGGCTAGGTCCCTTACAGTGTCCCCTAATATCTGGTCTTACCTTGCTCTTTTAGCCCCTGTCTAATTGACTATTTTCAAAAGTTTCTCCAGGAGGGCATGAACACAACTGCTTATTCCACCACAGCAACAAGTTAAAACTCTCCTCCTGCTACATGAAGTCACCCTGACCTATTCCCCCACCCCGCCATATCCTAAAGACAGACCCCAACACCCAATTTTGTCCTTCCTCAGCAGGAAACAGCCAAATGAACATAGCATCCCCTCTTCCTTTTGATGCCCTCTGGATCTGGCTAATAACCCAGAAACCTCAGGTGAGCTCAAAGACTCCAGAGAAGTTTGCAGATGATAACATCTACAGGCAGAAGTTTCTGATGTGGAGATTAAATACCTCCATTGGTATTTACAACACCGAGACTGTAGGAGAACAGATCTGCAGATGGAATCTTCCAATCCAAACTTCCCCTTTTCTGCCTATGGAACACCAAGCCCGCTACACCTGTGCACACACTCTCCACTCCTGCCAAGAGGCAGCTGCCCTTCACTGCTCTCATAGAATGACCATCCTTCTCAGGTCAGCCTCTTTCTTTTCTTTTCAGGTTACCTCGATCAATTCTAATACAACCACCTGTACATTTGAAGCATTTCATCAATCCTCTTTCCTTATGGTAAGTACACATACCATACCTCTTTCCTTCCTGTTTAAATTAAGCAAAAGTTCCGCAGAGGTGAACCCTTAGAGTTTGGAGATGGGGCTGCTGAAACGGATGAATTAAGCTGCATGGGTTTAACAGGGCCCAAGAATAGCAGGGGCCAGGTAGCAGTACTAATTGACAAGGTGAGTGTAGTTATCGTAATAGGCAGCATAGGCAAAGCCATGTCCAGAATGGCCTGACTTGTGGGCAGGACAGGCAAAGTGACTTATGATGACATGACTCTTCCAGACCTTTGGCACTACCTAATCAATCATGGTGTTTCTAAGTATGATACAGATAAGAAGCATTTTTATTTGATCTGTGTAAGCAGAAAAATCTGCATAAATGAAAGGAAGGCTAAACTGGATCACAACCGCAAGAAATCTTGGTCTATAAACCAATTTACAGACTGGAGCCAGTTAACAGACCCAGAACCCCTTGAATAAGGTATGGCCAGGGCCCATGATGAGAAGAAAATAAATCCAAGCAAATTGAAGGGCCTTCTACCTCAGTGGCACTTCTAGCAGTCCCGCAGTGTGGGGCATGCAGTTATATTCCTTCCCAGATGAAAGGTAAACTATTGCACTGGCTCCTCCCACCACCAAGAAAGAAGCACAATGCTTAGTGGGTACGGTGTTTTGAGTGAGAAGGCCCCATAGGCTCATGTCTGAATACCTGGTCCCCAGCTAGTGGAACTATTTGGGAAGATTTAGGAGGTGTGACTTGTTGGAGGAGGTGTGTCACTGGAGGCAGGCTTTGGGGCAAACGCCCACAGCACTCCCAGTTGGCTCTCTCTGCCTTGTGTTTGTGGATCAGGACATAAAGCTCTCAGCTACTGCTCTACCACCATGCCTGCCCACCTTGGCCATGCTCCCACCAGGATGGACATGGATTCACCCTCTGAAACCGTAAGCCCCAATAAACTGTTTCTTCTATAAGTTGCCTTGGTTGTAGTGTCTCTTCACAGCAACAGAAAAGTAACTAGGACAGTGGGCCTATTTGGATTCTGGAGACATCACATTCCTTCCTTATTTGGGTATGTTACTCCAGCCCTTATACCAAGTGACTCAGAAAGCTTTGAGTAGCGCCTGGAAGAGGAGAAGGCTCTTCAACAGATCCAGGGTGCTGAGCTTCCACTGGAACTATATGATCCAACAGACCTGATGGTACTTGTCAGGGGCAGACAGGAATGCTGTTTGGAGCCTTTGGCATTCTGTTAGTGAATCACAGAGGAGCCCCTTGGCATTTTGGAGCAAAGCTCTACCATCATCTGTAGACAACTGTTCTCCCTTGGAAACAATCCTTGGTCTCCTATGGGGCCTTAGTAGAAAATGTACATTTGGCTATGGGCCACATTACTATGCAACTGAGCTGTGCATCATGAGGTGGGTATTATTTGACCCACCAAAACATGAGGTAGGATGTGAACAGTAGCCATCCATTATTGTTGGAGGTTGGTCTGGTGCTCTGTACACAAATGCTAAATTTTGAGCCCCAATATTTGGTTGTAGTCCAAATGAGTGTATTCTCACATATACCAGTCTCTGTTGTATAAACTTTGCTCCTTAATTATCTCTGATTGGTTAATAAGGAAGGCTGGACAGCCTGTAACTGGGCAGAAGAGAAGTAGGAGGGACTTGGGTTCCCAGGCTTAGGGTTCTCAGGTAAGGACCATAGGTGGAAGAGAAGAGAAGGAAGGAGAAAGTTGGAGAGAAATACCGTGGCATGATGGAGCAGCTCCAGCCCAGACAGGACAACTATTTGGCAAGTAACTTGGGGAGCATAGCTGGGAGGTAGCCAGACCACCTTAGAAAATTAGTTTAAATCATACCTGCCCAGTTATTATGCTTAAAGTTTGTTTAAATAAACCAACAGGAAGTGCCAACTGGAAGTGATTGCACCTTGGTAGGTTCCTTTTAATCCCAGCACTTGAGAGGCAGAGGCAGGCAGATCTCTGTGAGTTCAAGGCCAGCCTGGTCTTCAAAGTGAGTTCCAGGAAAGCCAGGGCTACACAAAGACAAAGATGCTAGTATAAATAAAATAAAAATAAAAAAAGAAAGAAAGAAAAGAAAAACAAGCTCCTTATCTATAATTGTCCAAGCCTCTGGCAAATAGGAGGCAGCAGTAGATCCTACAAAGGAAGGCCCGAGAATTCTTCACGTATTTTGACTGCAAGACTATTCAAGAAAAATTGGTAATGGTTCAATTCTCTACAGGCTTGGGATGGTTAAATATAAATTATGGTACATCCATTAAATAGAACAGTATATTACATCACATAACAATTGTTAAGTAACACGGCAAAACACTGATGGTTCTAAAAGAAGGCCACAGAACTGGTGTATAAAATGGCCACACCTTTGTAAACATGTGTTAACAGAAAAACACTATCAAGAGACCCGCCAAAACGTCATCAGTGCTCATCTGCAGTAGTAATTCCATGTGCTTTCTTCTACTGTCTTTTGCCACGTGCTCCAAGTATTCTGTTCTGAGAACGTGATTGAGAATGCACTGCCTGTCCTAAGAGCAAGGCCAAAAGCAAACTTAGCTGGTTTCAGAAGGGCCTGAGACAATAATGACTTGTGTCTCAGGGGTTGGTTTGTAAAGATGAAAGCAATCTTTGACAAGCTCCTATGTGCTGACCAAAGATTAAATCTGGATAACTTCCAACCAGTGCAGTCCTTACCTGACCCTGTTCGTCCTACAATGCCAATCTTCTCCTTGGGCTTGATGGTGAAGGATACTTTCTTAAGGACCAGAGGGAGATTTTCCCGGTATCTCATTTCTGCATTCTCAAAGGTTACTTCTCCCTCCTGGGGCCAGTCAGGAGGAGGAGCCTTGTTCTTGATTCTGGCAGGTGCTTCCAAAGAGAGAGTCTGAGGAGAGAGAGTGTGCTTCAGATTCTTGTGGCCTAGCAAAGCTTACCGAAGAGGGCAAGCACAGCAGTCACGGCAGCTGACAACACTGGAATGGCCTGAGGAAAGTACTAAGGGTGGAACCCGAGGCCCTCCCATCACTCAACAAGTTTTCATTGGAATTCTCTGAAAATATTCCACTTGAAACAGAATTCCACCATCTGAACACCACTGGCTTGAATTAAAACTGAAGTAAGCTACTCAAGATTCACTGAACATCTAAATCTGATGGCCAGTCTAAGAAATACAGACTGAAGTTCCAGCTATGCCACTCTCAAGCCACCAGAGCACTGTGACCTACACAAGCCACCATGGCAGTGTGATCTGTAACAAGCCATTTCACCTTTCTGCATCTTAGTTACTCATTTACAGATTGTGCAGAACAAATCTGGCCCTGGGAACCCATTCCTGCTGCAAAAGGCTGTTATAACTTCCTTTGTAATGTTGTCATGCAGTCATCCCTTAAAATGTTTTAAAAATCCTCTGGCAAGTAGTCATTGACTTCATACCATTAATGTAAAGATCATCAAATTAGTATTTGGGGAGTGTGGGGGCTATGTGTATGTGCCTGTGTGTGTGTGTGCATGCACATACACATATGTGTGAGAGTGTATGTGTGTATCTGAGCATGTGTGCATGCATCTGCCAGCATGTTCATGCACGTGTAGGGGAATAAAGTCTGAGATTGTAATGGTGTAAATGCTGTGATTCTTAGGGTGCTTTACAAAACAGGTGACCTTGAGAAACAAGCAACCCTGAAAATTCCTGCCCCCACCCTTGCAATGTTTCTTTGTATATAAAATCACTTTAGAGTTCCAGAGAGAACACAAACAAAACACAACCTCAAGGCAAAGCTAAGAGGCTCCTGAGGAAGGGTAGAAAGAACAAGTATTCTCAGTAACACCCAAACCTACTTGTTTCTAAGTTGTGAATAATACAGATTAGAATTCACCAGTGAGCTTAAATACACAGAGCCTGGCTCCTACCCCAGACCAATGACATCAGTCTCCAGAAATGAGAGCCATGCCAATCTCTGCCAGAGGTTCAGTTAGGGATCCGGGTGGCCAACGTTGGCCAAGGACAACTAGACCATTCATACTTCAGAAACAGGACCCAAAGACCGCTGAGCTGAAACTGGCCTGAATGGCCCCTCCCTGAGGATACAGGTTATATTTGGGAATATATATGTATATACAGATCTTATATATTTTAACTACAACTGATTAAAAAGAGATGGTGAACTTGAAGGAGTGGGAAGAGGTGTGTATATATATATATATATATATATATATATATATATATATATATATATATATATATATATATGGGTCATGGAGGGAGGAAAGGGAAGGGGAACATAGAGGGAGAAAAGGGAAGGGCAACAATGAAGGGAAGAAAGGAAAGGAAAAATATTATAATTAAAACACAATCTCAAAAATAAACAAGTAAGAAAAATACATATAAAAACATGGTGTATGGTTTTAAACAGTGTAAGGGAACTGTTACATTAGCTTAACCGAAAGACAAGATTTCTGAATGTGTCACTGTTAACTCTAGAGAGCCACCAGTTAACATGAGTTCTCAACTAAACAGAACTTACAAATCTGTTAAGGAACTTTTATGGTGATCCCTTTTATATTCTAAGCATGTGGTTGAGACTGCTGATCCTCTTAGCAGGGCATGAGACAGGCAGAGAACAAAAGGTTCCTCCTCCCCAACATCCGTGACAGAAGGAACACAAGAACTCCAGCAAGGCCTGAGCCCTCCTGACCTTTATGTAGTGGTTGATCCTTTCAACCGAAGTGAAGCGTGCTTCTGTCTCAGAAGCCAGTCTAACTGTAAACTGGAAGAGTCCGGTTAGCTGAGAATGGGAAACAAAAACGGAGACTGTATCACACTGGGCAGAGGTTGGAACTTCCTGCACCTGCGGGGCCATGAACAGGGGGCTGCTGGAGCGCACACCTGGGGCCTGGAGTCAGGGCCCAGTGGTTTGCTTGCACTTATTACCTCACGCACTACCCTCATCACAGTGCACAGCACACAAAGGTGCACCATGCTCTTAGGTCACGTCACTGCACTCCTGGACCCAAAGGGCTTCCGGGAACACACATCTGAAGCTGGGTAACTTCTGAATCACTGACTTTAACTTCAGCCTGTTTGTGGCAACCACACAAATTCGTTTTGAGCTCTTTCAGGGCCTTTAATCATCCCTAGGGATGAGAAGGCTTAGTCTTATAACATCGCTGTAATACGAGGCCAGATAACATGTTTTTTTTTTTTTTTTCTTTTTTCCTTCTCTTCTTTCCTTTCTTCTTCTTCTTCTTTTTTTTTTTTTTTTTTGAGACAGGTCCCTACTTGGCTGTCCTGGAACTTGTTATGTAAACAAGGCTGACCGAAAATCATAGAGATCCAGTTGTCTCTGCCTCCCAACTGCTGGTACTGAAGGCATATATTTCTGTGCCAGGCCTGGTGGCAAACACCTTTAATCCTAACACTCACAAGGCTGAGGCAGGCAGATTTCTGAGTTCAAGGCTAGCCTGGTCTACATAGTGAGTTCCAGGACAAACAAGGCTACAAAATGAGGCTCTGTCTCAAAACAAACAAACAAGCAAACACATTTATCTACTATACACAGCATTTATTTTAATTCTAGAGTCTACTCCCCACCTCTCTTTCTAGTCATATGACCCCAGCCCAGACACTAACCTGCACGGCGTAAGAGATGGCCAGGCCAGCATAGGCTGGGGGAATCTGTCCGTGCATGAGAACAATCATCAGCCCAGTGGTGGTGATCAGGGCGATACTGATGAGGTCCAGCCGCACTGCCAGCCATCTCATTGCACAAGTGAACAAGAAAAAAGGAGCTTGGTTGTCATCCAGTAGCTCCTGATACCTGTGAGAAAAGATGGAATGACAAATGGATAAATAAAGTACCATACGACGGCACTCAGGGGCTGATGTCAGCTTCAGGACCTCAGAGTGGAGGGCAAGCACTTTCCGCTCGTCAACCAAAAGAATGGCCTGGAAGCTTCAGAAGCACAGGCCTTACATGAGAGGACACGGGTGCTCTGATGCCAGTTACCCTTTGAGAAACACTAACACCTACACTTGAGCTGTTGGGGAGGGCAGGTGTGGTGGCGCACGCCTTGAAGAGGTGGGGGCAGGTGGGTCTCTGTGAGGCTGAGGCCAGCCTGAACTCCTAAAGAGGGAGTTCCAGACCAGCCAGGCAACAGAGGGAGACTTTTTTTTTCCAGACAGGGTTTCTTTGTGTAGCACTGGCTGTTAAAACTTGCTCTGCAGACTCAAACTCACAAAGATCCTCCTGCCTCTGCCTCCCAAGTACTGGATTAAAGGTGTGCACCACTACCACTGAAATTAAGTCTTAAACAAACAAACAAAAACCCTAAAAAATCCTAGAGGCTGGAGAGATGGATCAGCACACTGTCCTTGCAGAAAAACTGGGCTTGGTTCTCAGTAACCCATAGGAAGCTCACAACCACATGAAGCTACACAGTTCCAAAGGACCCAATGCCCTCTTTTGGTCGCGTGCGGGTGCACGCTCACGCGCACACGCGCACACACGCACACACGGGCACACACACACACACACACAAACAAGTAAATAAATAACCTTTTTTTTAGAGCTAAAGACAGAAGAAACATCCACACATAAGAAGCATGGGCAAGGAGGCTGAATCCAAAGGCTGTGTTAAACTTTAGAAAAATATTTTAAGTCAGGGGTCATTTCCTCAAAGCAAGAGGGTTCAAGGGCAAGGAGCAGAGGCAATCCAAGGCCAGAAACATAAAACTCTGAGAGCAACTGTAGGGTCGCTGCTGCCTGTTCGGAAACACTACTGCAAAGGGAAACTGTTTCCAAAGGTGGCAGAGCCAAGAAGCCTGTGAGCTGGAGCACAGCAGCAGCAGCAAGAGAGGCAGCACCCCCCAAGGAGGGAGCATGGCACAGAGCCTCCATCACGGAGGCTCCACACAATGAACAGGCAGAGCTCTAGGGAGGAAGTTTTGCTAGGCTTAAAAACAAACAAACAAAACGCTCTTCCTCCTTACAGTAAAATATAAAATCTTCAGAAAAAAACGTAAGCTTCCAGACATTAACACTGTGCTACCCCTCTCCAAGAAAACACTTTGGAAGGCCTTTTCTAAATCTTCATTTTCCTCACCTCTTTTTTCTACCTTTTTTCATGTAAAATTACTTTTTTTTTTTTTTTCTTCCAGACAGGGTTTCTCTGTGTAGCCTTGGCTGTACTGGACACACTTTGTAGACCAGGCTAGCCTCAAACTCAGAAATCCACCTGCCTCTGACCACCTGAGTGCTGGGAATATAGGTGTGTGCCACTGTACCTGGAATGACTTAGATTTTACTTTAACAGGCAACACACACAATTCTGACAATTTCAGAAGGCTTTTCATCTGTGTGCATGTGAGCCTGTGAAGGCTTGAGAATCGTCCCTGACAACTCTTTCATCTTACTTACTGAGGCAGGGTCTCTCAATCAAACCTAGAGCTTGCCAACAGGGCTGGCCCACCTTATCAGCTCCCTCTGCGGATATTCTGTCTCAGCCTTTTTAGGCTGAAATTACAGGTGAGCTATACAGCATGCCCATCTGTCAACTACATGGGTTCTGGGCACCTCAGCCCCCAGTGCTCACACTTGTATAGTGAGTGCTATACAAAGTTTTAAAAGGCTTACTACAAAAAGTCAAGTATTTTTCTTACCAATTTCTGGGTATCTAGTTCCTCTTTCCACAGATAGCTCCAGTTTCTTACATATCCCTTCAGAGGTATACAAATGTACACAATCCTCAAAGGGCAGCGTGTCAGATATCCACATCTGTCTCCTGGTCTGTGTTTCTGTCTTTTTATTTTCTCAGAAGCAGTCTTAGCAAGTGGCTGAGTTTTAATCAGAGACAGTTCAGTTCCACCAGCAACAGCTTTTTGGATGAGCTTTCTGACCCCGAGCTCTAGCCTTGAACAGCCTCTTAAGGTTACTGTGACTGTCAATATGGCCCCCAACAACACTGACCTGTGTAGAAACTCCTGCCCGCGGTTATAGGCGTGGATGGTGGCGAGGCCCTGTATGCTGGACGTGATGTGGGAGAGGAAAGGAGACTGTGTGATGTTGTCCAGACGCTTCAACTCACGGATCAGAACCCTGTGAGGGACAGGCTCTGTGTCACAGCAGGAAACCAGCACCCATGGCCTCTACTCTAACCCTTCGTGCATCCTATTTACCTGGCGACAATGTGTAGAACTGAAAAGAGGATGAGCAGAGGCCCCACTGCCACAAGGAACCATGGGAAGACTCCTGCGATCATTCCAACACAGAAAAATACCAGGATCACATTCTGGATGAACATCTCCGCCTGGAATGGCAGGCGCACGTCCACTGCAGAGACCAAGAGAAAACAAGCTTCAGACTCTTGGAACCCACAAGCAAGGAAAATGCAAGTAAATAGTGATCTTCCTCCTCCATCCTCTCTCTCTGGTTTAGTTTTCCTTACTCCTCCTAAACACTTCTCCTCTACAAAGTATTGTATATGTATGTAAAACACTTGAAAATAACATGCAAAAAGGAAAGCAAAGATCATCTATGTTCTTACCAACACAACAAAAATTTAAACATGTGTGAGCCTTGAAGAAGTATACACAACCTTCAAAAGCGGTATCTTCACCCCCTTTTAAAAAAGATTTATTTATTATTTATACAGTATTCTACCTGCATGTGTGACTGCAGGCCAGAAGAGGGCACCAGATCTGACTATAGATGGTTGTGACCCACCACGTGGGTGCTGGGAATATAACTCAAGACCTTTGGAAAAACAGCCAGTGCCCTTAACCTCTGAGCCATCTCTCCAGCCCCTCTTCACCCCTTTCTTTGGGCAGAGGTATCTTCATGAAAACTACAGCTTTGTCATAAACACTGCTGGTATTTTTTTTTTTCCTTCTTTTTGAGACAGGATCCTAGTATAAAGCTCAAGATGGCCTCAAACTTGCAACCTTTCCACCTCAGACTCTGGTGCAAGGACTGAACCAACAGCTCTAGCTCACCATGTGTGCTCATGTCTGAATGTGCATGCGCAGTGTGCCTGTATGTACACAAGTAGTAACATGGTGTGCTCCAGTTCTGGTACTGAGTCTGCTCCCAGTTCCTCTTACTTTTGCCCATAACCTTACATGGCCTACTGGCCCTGAAACAAGGTCCTCCTGGGAAGCCAACCATTGTGCAGTAGATAAAAACTAACTTTGAGGTGAAAGGATCTGAGCCCAATTCCTAACCTGATCACCTAATAGCTGTATGATCTTGGGCAAGCTACTTGACCTTCTGTATACTCAATGGGTGAAACAACAGATGCCTCCCAGGGCTGTTGTGTGGGTTTTGACAGGGTTGTTTGTTGCAGGATGTAACCAGATTCTGGATGATGGAGAGCTCTGAGTTCTGGGGCAGACACAAGAAAGCCCATCAGACGCTGCAGGTGCATGCTGGGAGTGCAGACATCCCTCCTAAAGCCCCACTGCTAACTCAACCCTCAGACAAAACATCCATGAATGCCAGACTCTCTTCTCAGTCTCAGGAGAGACAAAGCTGCACCTTCTCTTTTTTTGGGGGGAGGGGGGTGGGAGGGGGGACAGAACCCAGGAAGTCTAGAGGCAGTGAGCACTGGTTGTACTCCAGAGCATAAGAGAAAAGAAAGGTTGCCAGTGAGTGATACCTTCATCCATGTCTTTGGAAAAGCGGTTGAGAATCCTGCCCGTTGGAGTAGTGTCAAAAAACTTCATGGGGCTCCGAAGAATCCTCCGGAAAAGCTCATCATGGAGCCGGGAGGAGGCTCTCAGTGTTCCCTGGGGAGCAGAGAAAAAAACGATCAGGCCCAGAGACCTGCGTACTCAAGGAAGGATCAATTCCTACTCCTACAGGTGACCAGTGTGCAGACAGCCATTCCCAATGCTGGGGGAGTACAAATGGTCAGAAGACACAGGTGACTCAGAGAAAGCTGAAGCTCTTTCAGCAGGCCCACACTATTGTGCACACACGCCACACCAAGCCCACCCACTGTGGTATACCTTAACAAAGACAACTCCTCGAATGGCTTTCAAGACTAGCATGACGACCATGGAGAGGGCATAGATGCTCGCGTAGTACTGCATGAAGGGATTGTCCTTCATGCTCTCGCTCACGGTGCTTCTGTTCCCTTGAGACACTGTGGTGTTCTGTTTGGAGGGAAGGTACCATGGGGTGAGGTTCCTGACATAGCTAGGTCACTTTCAGCTCAAGGAGAGAGCCATTGTAAGTGACCTGGGACCTGGTCGTGGCAAACACAAAGCAATCTTGCTGAGCACTTCTATTTCCAGTGGGTGAACAGAAAGAACCTGCCACTGTCCTACTTCCTGACTAGCTCTACTGCTTCTGGGTTGGTCAGCCTTTTTTTCTGTTCTGTGAGACTACATTAAGTATCCTTTCCCTGATCTGGGAACACTCCTGTTCACTGCTTTCTTTCCTTTAAATTACCTTCTAATTGATACATAAACAAAGTTACCCATATTACCAGGGTATCTATCCCATTATGTTTCTGGTGCTTCTTTTTAGTGAAAAGGATAGGAGTTTCCCTAAGGAAACTAGGGAGACAAGGCCACATCATCAGCCATAACTCTCAGTACTGAGTGATCTCACCCCACTTCCTTGCTTGATCCAGTAGCTCAACCACCAAGTGCTGAAGGCAGTGCTGCCCACATTCAGCATGAAAAGGACCATGATGACCAGGAAAGCCAAGGGACCCCCTGCGGCCTGGATGTAGACGCCATAGACTGACCAAGGCACAGAGCCTTGCCCTTTCTCCTCCACTTGCACGAGCTGCCCTAGGAAAGAAGAAAAAAAACATGACCTTAGAAGGGAAGAAAATGGAATTAAACTTTGTAGGAAGATGTGGGTTTGGTTGAGGCACTACACTGGCCCAAAAGACCCATCCATCACTGGGTTTAGTCACAGAAATCAGCTTAGTGGGCAGCAGGAAGACAAAGTTGGCCTGTACATAACTTAACTAGCTAAGCTATAGCCAAATAATGAGGTAATTGGGTAAGTTACTGCCAATTACATTGTTTTCTACTCTGGACTTCTTTCTATATGTGCTAGAGCACAGTGTTGGCAGGAGTTTTCAGAATTGGGGTTTGAAACAAGGTCCAACTGATCAATCATTGTTTTCCCCAAACGAACTCTTTTCCTTTCACTGTCTAGGGACTTTTCCCTTTAATAGGGCTGTTCCCTTCAAACAAGACAACCTAGAGTCTCAAAGGACGTCAGATCAGAATTACCTCCTCTTGACAAAACACTCATTCACTGAACATTTTTTTCAGAACCATCTATGAGAGGAGGTCCCACATGGGCCTTTCAGAGCCTCGCTGAGGACAGTGTCACAGTCTGGAGGACAGGCCAATGAAACATGGAAACATGTACTAAACGCAATAGCAGAGCCTTTCATTCCTCTTCAAGGTCAAAGGCACAAACATTAGGCCATTTTCCTAACCCTTTTTGTGATGGCTATCATTAGGTTTTAAGTCTAATTACTGTGCTTAAGAAGTCTGTAAATCAAAATTACCTCTTGTTAAGTTTCAAAACCAGGAAAAGCAGATGAGGTGCCTATTTAACATACCAAAGAGGTTTTTCCAGCATTCCTCAGACCCTGCCTGTTACAGGGTAGCTGACATACCCTGCCAGCTATGAACTCTCCAGCCCAGGGCCTCTCCTTTTTCCCCAGAGTCTCTTCCCTATCTAATCTAGACAGTTTGTTTACCCGCACCTTTTTGTACCTTTGGCCTCCTGATTGCTGTACCTGGTTCCCTTCTCTCTCCCCCCTCCTTCTCCCCTCTCTCCACAAGGTTCAGAGTCATGGCCACTCTGGACTCTCCCAGACAGTCTGCCTCTGTGTCTCCTTTTTATCTACAATAAACTTTCTCCCTCACCATACCCAGGAGCAGTGATGTCCTTTCTTTTCCTTTCTATTTTTATTTTCACTCACCTCTAACCTAAAAGCCTCACTGGGCCAAGAACTGGGCTTCCTGGATTGTTAAGGGCCATCTTGTCCTGTACAATTTTAACAAGACTGTTGTTTATGCACAATGTTAACCTCTGCTTCTGCTTCTACTTCTGTACCTGAGCCTGCTTGTTCAAGAAAACCCTAACACCTACAAGACATGTTTGCTGAGAGCTCTTCATTATGCTTCAGTGAAGATGCATGCTTATACTTACACAGAACGTAACTTTCTGCCTGCAGGATGCATGCCTGCACACAGATGGGATGTAACTTCACGTTTCTTTGCCTGTATCAACCCCTGACTTTTTGTGGCTTGATGATATATCCTGGGAATCCCGAGTCCTAGGAGGCTAGTATCTAAATAAAAAGCCTCTTCTTTATTAAAATTATTCTTGGTCAGACTGGTGAATTTCTGACTGACCCCAGACCTATATATAATATTAGTCACTTTGGATTCCAGAAAGAACAAAACCTCACAAGACAGGCAGTTCTCACCCAGGAGGATAATTATCCAAACAAGGAAAGCTGCAGCTGTCTTGTAACCAGACAGATTCCTTCAGAACTAGCATAAGGACACACAAGAACCTCTCTGACTAGGGCTGCTTTAACGTGGACCACTTGTCTCACTGTCTCCCTCTATTTAATCCTAAAGCTCATGTCAGGACCCTGGAGGTGAACTTGGGGTCACTGGACCCTTTATCTGTACCTCTTCTCAAAGTAGCCACACTAAATAAATGTCCTTCGTTTTGTTTTCATCATTACTTGGTATACTCAAAACTAGTGGCTGAACCATTTATTGGTGCTACTAAAACCCAGGCTTTCATCCTAAAAATTCCAGTTATAAGGTAGGGAAGTGACTCAACAAAGAGATCATTAAACAAACTGCATTCCCTTTTATTTCAAAGGTGATATGCGCTTCAAATTCATAGACATGAAAATGCTACATTACTGCAAACAGCTTCTTAGACCCTCAACATCCAGGCAAGGAAGTCCAAGCAGTAAAACTACCTGTAACTTTTCTAGAGCTCTCTGCAAATATCACCAGGACCAGGCAATGAGCCTACTGGTCTAGCACAGACTCTGAGTATGGGGCATGCTGGATACCTCAGCTTTAACTGGAATTCTAATGAGCATAGTTTTTTGGGGTTTTTTTTTTGTTTGTTTTTTAAAGCCTTTAGACATGTAAAAAATAGCTTAGTCAGGATCCCACCTACAGCCAAGGCTGTTCCTGATAACCAGAACCAGTGACATCAGTCACTCAAGATAACTAGCATAGTCCTAGAACCCCAAGACGCCTGGACAGTATATAAGCAGAGATCAAGAGTGATGCTCTGCTCCGCACATCCGGAGAGACACCAGCTGTTCTGCCCTGGTGTAGGAGGCTGTAGAGTCTCCCCAGGATCTTGACCCTCAAATCAGAGACTTCTGTGAGAAACTAGACCTGGCCTTCAGCTGGGATTCAAGTATAGAGGTGAACAGAAGGGAGGAAGGAAGGCTCACTCAGGATGACTCAGCTGTAATCACCCACAGCTAACTCCACCCTTGAAGAAAAGCAAAGGATCAAAGGTCACCTTATTTCCCATGTTTGGCACACCCTGGGTCCCTCAAATATTATCTTGAACTTTGTTATTCAAGAAATGGAACAGACAATGGCATGAAGCATCATTCATCTCCTGATAAACGACACTCAAAAATGTCCTTACCTTCCTCTGACTTCACTGCCTTCTCCTTCTTCACTGACCCTGGCTTAGGGCCCTTGTCTTGCGATTTCTTCTGTGAACCACTAGCTTCCTTTTTTGAATTAATCTAATAACAATAAAAAAAAGTTCTCTAGTCATAAGATGTTCATTCAGATGAATGGGTACAGGATACATACTCATTGAGCTAGTAATATAAATACACCCAAGTTCTTACTTGTTTTGATACCAGGTTTCTGTGCTATACCCACACTGACCCTGATCTAGCTCAGCCTCCTGAGTGGTGGGATCACAGGACAGACACCATGACTGGCACACCTACTTTTTTAAGAAAGCTGCCTACAATAATGTACAGTAATTTCTTGTACTAACTCAATCTCTTAAAGTTTGGGGGATCCAGGTTTATTATCATTAAAAAATCCACTACAACATATTTAATATAGGAAAAGAAGTTTATTATAAAAGGAGAGAGGAAAGAGAGGAAGGCACCCCAGAAAGAAGAGAAACCAAGAAAGAGGATGTATGCTCAGAAATTCACAGAGCTGCCTTTATCTTGCATGCTGGCCACAGGTAATGATGTCAGGTTGCTGGGCAACCTAGAAGCAGGCTATTTATTGGCTTGTGAACTAACATTACAAGGTTCCTACCCTGTTAGTTCACTGACATTTATTCTCTTCTAAGCCATTTAAAACCTAACCTCCCCAAACAGAAGGGTTTACCATTTTATTCTTCAGTTTATCCCAGTGATTAAGTACCACTGGAATCATATCCTTTCTCTGACCTGCCAAATACTCAGGTCCAGAGAGGCCCCATTTCCCTCTGCTACCACAGAAGAACCCCAACCTCTCTGCTTGCTTTTGCAGGATCTCTGCATTCCGGCACTAATCTAGGCACATAGGCTCCTCTCCCATTGCACTATTTCCCGCGTCTCCTACTCTCCAGCCACACTTGACTTCACACCATCCCTTAACCATAGTGCAAATTCCCACTGCTGTGCCCTTGTCCCCTCCTCGTTCCAATCTCAGTCATGGCTGTCCCAATTCAGGTGGGCTCAAATGCTACACTCCGTGTAAAGGAATTTACACTTCTTTGCAATTAAGTTCGCCTGCCCCTCAGGAATCTTAGCACACTGCAGTATCCGGTTAGCGCTACCTATAAGATCAGGAAAGCACTGTTCTACCCTACATCACCTACCATCCTTCAGGGGCAAAGGTGAGATCTCACAGGGGATTATCCACTACTCAGTGCCTACTGACAGAACTGCATAGAACAGGGTACAGAGGCATTCATCAAAGTGAATCTGAGGCCAAACAAACAAACAAAACGACAAAACTGTTTCATGCTCTCCTTGCCAAGTTCTGCTACATCCTTAGAAAATTTCCTCCAAATTCAACTTTACATGAAATGGCATAGCCCCAGCAGCCTTACCACTAGACTTTCAAAACACACACTGAGATTTAAAAAATATAAAATCTAGATAGGGCTGTATCTGGGATAGAAGAAAGGGCTCTGAATATATTTACTGCAATACTTGAGAAAATGCATTGTCTAAAAAGATATTAGCATCTGTGGATCACCTACTGGGGGAAGCCCATTACTTTTTACTTAACGCAACAACTGTGAGTAACCAATATGATATGTGTATCAGGGCACCAGTGCTATCTATGGTGGAGGTCAGAGAACAACTTTGTGGGCTCTGGGAATTGAATGCAGTAGCTGAGCTTACAAAGCCAGTGCCATTATTCGCTGAACCATCCTGCTGGACCGGCAAGTGACATTGGGAAAGCATGCTCCTAGTTCAATGATAGTGAGCAGCAAGCTCACTATCCTTTTGCTCCGTGGACAATTCTGTATTTTAGCTTCTCTTTCTAATTTTCCCCTCCAAGTGTGCAAAGATGAGGCAACAACCTGAAGAGTGCAAAGCCTCCCAGAAGCCATAGCAGATCACTAAACATAAATCTGGATCTTTGCGTCTCTGTGCATGTCAGTGGTGATTCCAGGAAGGCTGGATGACTATCAGCCCAACGAACCAGTTATGCACAGTTAGCTGTACTGTGTGTGAAATCACGAAACAGAAAGGCTGAGGCAAGGCACAAGAGGAGGTCCCACTTAACATCCTGCTTTCATTCCATGCCAGTCTCCAAATGACCTGGCTAACAGCAAGGAAGATCAAACGCCAGCCTAAGTCGCTCTTGAGACCTGGGGAGAGAGGTCCGCTGGCCAGAAGCAAGCACAGCCTCTAGGACAGCTGTGCACAAGCTGTATTCTGCCTAGCTTGGAGCCTGTGTGAAGGCAGAGAAAGCTGACACCTCTGGGTGCTGCACAGGAGGTGGGAGCAAGTACAAAGAAATGGGGAATCAAGCTATCCTCACCAGCAAGCTGCTCAGCTTGCCTGAGCCTCTAAGACTGAGAATCATATTTGGCCACATAACTCCAATAAAATGCCTAATGAAATGGTCTCTAAAGAACTTAAGCCAGTAACCAGAGCACCTAAGTGCCAAATCAGGATCTAAGATACCATGGATCTTTTCCAAATGTACACAGTAATTGCCTTCCCCTGACACCTTGTTCTCTTACTTGTCTGTCAAAGAGAGACTCACGTTGCTTAGTCAGGGTTTAAGGAGCAAAGCTGTGAGCACACAGTCTCTCCAGTTCTCGCCCCCTCATCCTGCTCTCCCACGGGAAGATGAGCAGGTGAGCGCAGAACAGAAGTGTGGACATGGTATACCACAGGCAAACAGTTAAACTGAGCTCTTTCCACTCCGGTGTCATCATGTCTCCCTATGTAGAAATGAGATACAAACCCAGCAAACCTTACCTCAACTGGGGGTGTCTCTCCCAGTAACAGGTTATTAAAAATAGTTGCGTAATCCCCATTTAAGTTCATCAGTTCCTCGTGGGTACCTCTTTCTGTAATGCAGCCCTCTCTCATGAAGATAACTTCATCACAATCAACAAGGTACTGGAGACAACGGCAAGGACAACACAGAATTGCTGCTATTTATGCAAACACACTCAAATATCCAGTCTTAGTCTATGTCTGAACCAGAAATGGTTTGGCTGCCCATTTGACAAAATGAGGACATTTTAGGTTGTTCAAATAAGGGGAGATACCCCACTGGCTCATGGTGGATCAACACTTGAATGCACAGAGCAGACCACCCACAACAAAGAACCAGCAGCCTGCAGTGTTAACTGTCTCGAGACCTTTGCTTTAGTGTACCGTGTCCTATGACACAGTGCAAATAGTATTTCTTATGCATTCTGATGGTGGAGCTACACAAACTCCCCATTCAATTGTGAATCCTGCCTGAGTGTGGCCAGCCTGGTCTCAAATAAATTAACTAATTCAAATCCTTTCACTGACTGTAGAAATTAGAGGTTTTCTGGAGCAAAAAGGGAGATCGGGACTCCCAACTTAACCTGACAACTCAGACAGCAACAATCTGAGCAGATCTCTAAAATGAAGACCTGTCATGGATCAGTGGAGGCAAAGTGTACATTGTGCTTACTGTTTGCACACACAGACGCTAGCATGATGCTTTCTGCCAGACCAACTCATTCCCAACCTCTACTTCTAGATGGCCAACTACAGGACTGGTTTTCTGGCTATTTGCTGAGGAAACGAAAACAGTTCACCCTAGGAATCTCTACTTGTCTCACAGAGATACCTGGCCCAAGCCCACCCTTTTACCAAGCCTATGTGAGCGGCCTAGGAGAGAATGTACCATACCTGTAACTGGTGTGTAACAAACAGAACCGTCTTAGACTTGAGGTGCTTCCGGATAGCACTGTTGAAGATGTGGTTGCCTACATGGGCATCTAAGGCACTGAGCGGGTCATCCAGGATGTAGATGCTTCTGTCACTATACAAGGCCCGAGCAAGGCTGATTCTTTGGCGCTGCCCACCACTCAGGTTGGCTCCTCGTTCTCCAATCTATGAACCCAAAACCAAAGCAAGGAAAGCCTTTATCTTCAAGAAAAAAGTGCTTAATGGGCACCCCAGTCATCTTTCCCCTCCCTCCCCTTCCCAAACTGATGCTTGAACTCCTGCCTATATAAACTGCCACTGTGAACCTTCTAGAGACTGAGGGAGTCTTCCTACAACCATCTAAGTGCCAATCAAACATACATGTGTCTTTGACACTGCCCCAGAGAGAATATCCTAAAACAAAAAGCTGACCGTTCTTCAGCCTTGCCGAAAACTCTTTAGGAACCCTGAGAGAATCTACACACTCACATACAACCTCACGTGCCCTGAGATTTAAGATTATGAATCCACATAACCATTCTTCTGTATGGTGCCTGCTTGACTGTGGCACCATTTCTTCTCAGAAACTCCTCCAATCTCCACAGAAGTGGGCTCTTTTTATTCTGTGCCAAATTATCTGGGTCTTTTATTTGTTCCCTTAAATAAAAGCTTCTTATGCAAACAAACTACTGTCCTGTTCCTTTATAGTCTAAATATCAGGCAAGTGCTGAACATGTCACAACACACACATCTGACAAATTCGTAATTTGGGAACAAACACATAATTCAATTGTCAAATGGTACCTGATTTTCTGTTGCTAATTTTTTTTATTTATGGTTTTTCTTTGTTTGTTTTGTTTTTTGAGATAGGGTTTCTCTGAGTAGCCTTGGCTGTCCTGGACTTGCTTTGTAGACCGGGCTGGCCTCAAAGTCACAGAGATCCCTCTGCCTCTGTCTCACTGAGTGTTGGGATTCTGTTACTTTTTAAAATGTTATTCTTAAAAGAAAAAAAAAAAAACAAACCCAACATGTTATCAATCAAAGGTTCACTAACTTGTAAGTATCAGAACTACCTGCAGAGCTTATTAAAACAGACTGCTCAGGAGTGCATATCCTAATAATGTGTATTTCTAACAACTTACCAAGTGATGCTGATCCCACTGATTTTGATAACTCAGGAACTAATTAAATCATTACCAAATCTGGCTTGAGGGTTTAACTGAAGTCAGCTAAACAAAAGAGCCAAACCCACAGACTGCAGAGCAGTTCATAGGAGACAAACATTAAGAATGAAGCGCACACCAGGTGCAGAGACTGTTCAGGACAGAGAAGAGATTATCCCAAGGCTCTTTCTACCTAGGGGAAGGCAATAGAACCTAGGAACGAAGCTCAACATGTATTTGTTTGACTTATAGTTTAAAAATACTTAATTTTTTTCCACCCCTACCCCTCTCAAAGGGGTCTCACAATATAGCCATGGAACTTGCTATGTAGACCAGAATGGCTTCTACCTGTCTCTGTTTCCCAAGTTCTAATATTAAAGGCATGCATCACCATCCCCTGCTAAAATACATTTAAGCAGAGTAAAAACAAAAGGAAACAATTTGGAATCCAATGGAATATACTTAAGATTCGCATGACATATGAAATACATTAGTCTTTAGGCAGGGATGACATCCTTGCACTGATTAACAAATGCTTTATTAACATAATGGCTCAATGAAATCAAAGCTCCCTGTGTGGTCTCCTAGGAAGGGATGTGGCATGTCCTTGCAAAACCCTCCAAAGCCTTCCCTGCTAACTGCTATGGTGGCCTGTCAAGAGCAAAAGGCTTGTACCTCAGTCAGGTCGCTGTTGGGGAGAATGGCCAAGTCAGGACGCAGGCAACAGCTATTCAACACAGAGTTGTATCTGAAAGACACAAAAGTGACAGAAAATCAGGGACTTGGTTACAAAAAAAAAAAGCCTACTGATGGGCTGCCTTCTCTTACACATGGCCAAAGAAAACACGACAGAAACCAAACATGTCTCACCTTTCTTCATCAAATTCCTTCCCAAAGAGAATGTTGTCTCTCAGAGTGGCATTGAGAATCCAGGCCTGCTGGGCCACATAAGCAAAGGTCCCATTGACTGCAATGCTGCCCTCTAGGAGTGTCATCTATGGAGACAGACACCATCCAGTGGTAGAAATTAAAACAATGCCCCAGACCATCAGGTAACACCCGCACTGTCAGTGGTGACAAGTCTAAAGCCTTGGCCACTTGTGAGAGTTTCTTTGGACCTAACTCCAGATTACCCATTTCTTCTAAAGAGAGCTACAGCAACAAAAACATCAAAAGTTAACCTTATTTATGTGAGATGGGAGCCTAGCATAATTCACAACATGACTATACACTCACACCACACTAGGCAACCCATGGCTGTTCTGTGCTATCTAACTGTAAATTAATTTCACTGTAAAAGTGCATCTGCAGTGGCTGATCTTGGTTGTCAACTTGACTACATCTAGAATAAGTAAAATCTAAGCATCGGGGCACATCTGTGAGGGATTCTCGTGATAAGTTATTGCACTGGCTCCTCCCACCACCAAGAAAGAAGCACAATGCTTAGTGGGTGCAGTGTTTTGAGTGAGAAGGCCCCACAGGCTCATGTCTGAACACCTGGTCCCCAGCTAGTGGAACTATTTGGGAAGATTTAGGAGGTGTGACTTGTTGGAGGAGGTTTGTCACTGGAGGGGGGCTTTGGGGCAAACGCCCACAGCATTCCCAGTTAGCTCTCTGCCTGTGTTTGTGGATCAGGACATAAAGCTCTCAGCTACTGCTCTACCACCATGCCTGCCCACCTTGGCCATGCTCCTACCAGGATGGACATGGATTCACCCTCTGAAACCATCCCTGTTGCTGCCTAATGGGTCCATGAACAAAGTGGTCACAGTAGCAGTGACTGAGGCTATGTGTGGTGGTTTGAATAAGATTGGCGCCCATAAGCTATTATGTTTGAATACTTGGTCCCCAGTTAATGGAACTGTTTGGGAAGGATTCAGAGGTGTAACCATTTTGAAGAAGGTATGTCATTGGAAGTGGGCTTTGAGGTTTCAAAAGCCCATTACAGGCCTAGAGTCTCTCTGTCTGACTACCTGCCTGCTGACCTGTAAGCTCCCAGCCCCATACCTGCCTGCCTCGATGTTTCCTGATTATGATTATGGCCTTACCTTCTGAACTGTAAGCATACCCCCAATTAAGTGCTTTCTTTTGTAAGAGGTGCCTTCATCACGTTGTCTCTTCACAGCAATAGACCAGTAACTTAGACAGAAGTTGGTGCCAGGTACTGGGTATTGCTGTGACAGGCTAACCATGCTGTTTGTTGGAGAAATATGGTGGATTTTGGCTTAGGAAAGCAGTTGAATGTTGTAAGCAGGGCTTCCTGGGCCATCCTACTATGAGCATGGAAGACATTAGTGCTAAGAGCAATGCAGACTATGGGGCCCTGTTAGTATTTAGGCAGCCTGCTTCTGAGTTGCTTACCAACCCATGATGTCATCATGTGTCGCCCACCAGGCAGCCAGACCTGGCAGTGTGGTTAAGTTGCTCCATAAAAGGACCAACCTGCCACTTTGTCGCACTCTTACCCTTTTACTCTCTCACTCTCCTGCTTTCTCCCCTTTCTCTGTTGGGGCGCCCCCCCATCCAAAATCTTGTCTTGCTCTCTCCTCTCTCCTTTCATCTCCATCTAATAAACCTCTTTCATATAAAAATCTGTGTGCATCATCATCTCATGGTCCTAATAGGTGCAACTCAGTGGTTTTAGAACAGGGAATATTAGAGACCATTATTGTAATATTTTTGAATGTGGCTACCTTTTTTTTTAAGCCATTGTTGTAAAAATCTGCCAGAGGCTAAAGAGAAGAGTTTGGATTAATATCACTGGCAGAAGAAATTTCAAGACCTTCTAGTATTGACTGTGTCACCTGGTTATTAGTGAACACTCATGTAATCTACAATAAAAACAGAGTAAACAGGTCAAAGAAAAAGACAAATGGCACACTGAGAGGAGAAAAGGGTCATCAAGAAAGTAATGCTGGAGCTAATTCCTGTGCTCAAGGAGATAAGAAGTTTAAGGATGCTCAGTGGAATAAAGCAAGTAGTGACCTAGAACAAGATTCCACCCAGGTAATTTATAAAAAGGAAAGCTGATCCAGCAAAAGAAACCATCAACAATGGAAAGCTAATGCAAATGTAATTCTTGGAGGGAGCCAGATTCCACTGCAAGCAAGCAAAGAATTTGGCAGGTTCTGAATTTAGAGTCAAGGAAGATAATGTATAAAGAGGTTCTAGAATCATCTTCCAGGGTTAAGGAAAGCTGCTGAGGCCAGGCTTGTGTCACAGAAGTCCCTGCATGGAGGCCTAGAGAGGCCATTATGTGAAGTTGTAGAGGTGAACTATGGATTGTGTTGGAGACCCAAAGATGTTGAAGGTGCCAGAACTATGGGATATCTACCAAGGAGAGCTGCAATCTGGTGTGGAAACAGTCCAAGAGAAAGGAGTGTTGCAGTCAGCAAAGCAGAAAAAAAAGAGCCACCTAATAAACACTTTAACATCAGACAGTGTACTGGATAGTTTCTTGTTTTGTTTTGTACTGGATAGTTTTATGTCAACTTGATACAAACTAAAGTTATCTGAGAGGAAGAAACCTTAATACTGAGCTATAGGCAAGCCTGTAGGGCATTTTCTTAATTAGTGATTGATGGCAGAGGGCCCAGACCACTGTGGGTGGGACTGTTTCTACACTGATGATCCTGGGGTCTATTTAAAAAAAAAAAAAAGCCAGGCTGAACTGGTGGTGGTGGTGAATGAATGCCTTTAATCCAGCACTTGGGAGGCAGAGGCAGGTGGATCTCTGAGTTCTAGGACAGCTAAGGCTACCACAAAGAAACCCTGTCATGGGAAGAAAGCCAATAAGCAGCACCTTCCATGGCCTCTGCATCATCAGCTTCTGCCTCCAGGTTCCTGCCCTGGGGGAGCTCCTGTCCTGACTTCATTCAGAAATGATCAGTGCTATGGAAGCATAAGCCAAATAAACCCTTTCCTTCCCAAGTTACTCTAGTCATCCCAGCAACAATAGCCCAAACGAAGACAGAATGTGGAGTTGTGGTATTTGGAGCTTGTCCTGCTGGGTTTCAGTCTTACTTTGGTCCAGTATTTCCCCACTGTGGGCCTCTATTTTGGAATGGTAATGTATATTCTGTGCCAGCTTATGTTGGAAGTATGTGATCTACATTTTTATTTTAATTTTATGTGGGGTTACAGTTAAGAGATTGCTTTGAGTCTCAGACAAGACTTTGGACTTTATGCAACTTTTTTTTAAGATTGATGGATTGTTTGATTGATCATCGTGCACTGGTGTTCTGCCTGCATGTCTGTCTTGTGAAGGTGTCAGATCTTAGAGTTACAGACAGTTTTGAGCTGCCATATGGGTGCTGGGAATTGAATCCAGTTCCTTTGGATTCAAGAGCAGTCCATGTTCTTAAAAGCTGAGCTATCTCTCCAGCCCCAACTTTTATGCAATCTTGAGACTGTGAAAGACTATGTGTACTTTTGAAGTTGGACTAAATGCATTTTGCATGATGATATGGCCACAAGCCTATGGGTACCAGGGAATAAGTAGAATGTGGTGGTTTGAATGAGATTGGCCCCCATAGGCTCATGTTTGAATGCTTAGTCTCTATTTGGTAGAACTGTTTGGGAAGGATTAGGAGGTGTGGCCTTCTTGGAAGAGGTGTCTCTTCTCCAATTAATGTTTTCTTTCATAAAAGTTGTTGTTTTTGGCGTGGTGTTTCTTCATAGCAATGGAACAGTAACTAAGACACTTTGCATGAACAACGTGAACAACATGGACTTCCACTCAGGAAGTCTGACCTGCCTTTAGCTGCAGGAAAAGTACCAGATCTGCCAGCAGAAAAGATCAGCACTGAACACTCCCAATATGGCACCATTCCCTGGGGTGACCAGCCAGTGACCTGGTAGTAGGCTGACTATACTAGACCTCTGCCTGTGAGGGAAGGACAACACTTTCATTACCAAATAGAAACTTATTCTGGTTGTAGATTTGCCTTTCGTACACATAATGCTCTGCCAAAACCACTGCCCATGGACAACACAATGCCCATCTCCCATCACAGTATTCTATATAGCAATGCTTTGACCAAGGAACACACTTTACAGCCAGAGTAGCACAGTGTGCCCAGGTTCATGGAGTCCACTGGTTTTACCATGTTCCCTACCATCCTGAAGCAGCTGGCCTGACAGAGCAACTGAATGGCTTTTTGAAGACACACTGTCAATTAGGTTGTAAAAGACTGGAGACCTGGGTCAGGGTTCTCTGGAAGTAGGTAGGTATATGCTTTAAATCAGCATCCGATCGATACATGGCAAGGTTTTCCTACAGCCAGGATTCACAGGACCAGGAACCAGGGGCTGAAAAGGGAATGGTTCTGCTCATTATCATCCCCTAGTGACCCACTAGATAAATTTCTGATTCTGTTTCTGAGACCTTTGGTTCTGGTAGGCTGGAAATTTTGGTTCCAGATGGTGGAGCACTACTGCCTAGAGACACAACAAACATTCCACCGAACTGGAAGCTCAGGCTTCTTCCTGGTCACTCTGTGATTCTGATGCCCTTAAGCCAACAAGCTAAGAAATAAATAACAGTATTAAGAGAGGTGATTAATCCAGATGACGCAGAGAAAATTGCATTGCTTCTCCACAACTGACAGAAAACAGATTATCTCTGAAGTGCAGAGTTTTTTTTTTTTTTTTTTTTTTTTTTTTTTTTTTTAGTCTTTTTGAGACAGGTTTCTCTGTGTAACAGCTCTGGATGTCCTGGAACTGGCTCTGTAGACCAGGCTGGCCTCAAACTCACAAAGATCTGCCTGCCTCTGCCTCTACTGGGACTAAAGGTATGCGTCACCATCGCCTGGCTGCAGGGCGTCATTCAGGGCATGTCTTCTTGTTACCATGTCCTGTGCTTAAAAAAATCAATAAAACTGAGTGCAGTAGTGCATGCCTGTAACCCCAGCACTCAGGGAGACAGAGGCAGGCAGATCTGTGTGAATTCAAAGCCAGCCTTGTCTACAAAGTAAGTCCAGGGCGGCCAAGGTTACACAGAGAAACCCTGTCCCAGGGGAAAAAAAAAAATTAATGAGAAACTACAACCCAATCCAGGCAGCATGAAAAAGGGGGCAGACCCTTCAAGGAAGGTATAGGTCACTCCTCCAGGAAAAGAGCCAAGACCTGCTGAGTTGCTTGCTTTGTAGAGGAAATACAGAATGGGTAATACAGAAGGTTATAAATGACAGCTAAGACAGTGGTTCTCAACCTTCCTAACGCTATGACCCTTTAACACAGTTCCTCATGTTGTAATGACCCCCAACCATAAAGTTATTTTTGTTGCTACTTCAAAACTGTAATTTTGTTCATAAAGTCGTGATGTAAATACCTGATATGCAAGATGGTAACCCCTGTGAAAGGGTCATTCAATCCCCCACCTCAAGAGGTCATGACACAGGTTGAAAACAGTGCATCTATGATCAGGTGCTAAAACTTAAGACTGCAATTGACATGAGTGTTTCTATCCTGTTTTGTTAAAAATGTGTTTGTGCATATAAGCATCTACATTAAATATTTGTATTCTTTATTTCTTCATCATGTAATTTAACACTGATTTAGTATCAGCAGTTATCACACTTGCTATCAGACAGTAAAAGAACAAGCATTCCTCAAAGATACTGCCACCTCCTATAAAATATACAAAGAGTTTGAGGTTGTACGTGGCATAGTTTATCACGTTATACAAAATTATAACCTAGTTATCGCTTTTCTGTGGAAAGTAAGCATGACACAGCTGTGTGTGTCAAGTTAACAACAGGTGAGCTTGCGATGGGCAATCTTGGTTGTCAGATTGACTATATCTGGAATCAAGTAAAACCCAAGCAGCTGGGCACACTTGTGAGGGATTTTCTTGACAGGCTCATTTGATGTGGTCAGACTCACTCTAAATCTGAGTCATCTGAGGGCTGGAGATCCACCCTAGATCTGCCCACACCTTCTGGCAGTAGCCCCTGTGAAAGGACATGGAGTAAGGCAACTTTTTGCCTGCTTGCCCTCACTTTCCTTGGCAAGGTCATTTATCCTCCTGTTGAAGCAGTACTCTGCTGGTGTTAGCACCTACTTGGGAATCCAATGTAGAGTAGAGGCCACTGAGACATCCAGCCTGGTGAACTGAACAACTAGTGGATTCCTGACACTTCTATTAGTGACAGCCATTGTTGGACTAGCCAGAAGGAACGCAGGCTGCAAGCCACTCTAATAAATCCCTTTATAAATAGATATATATTTGTTACACGTTATGTTACATAATACATATATATTATGAGTGAATATATGTATATGTTCATTCTATCAGTTCTGTTCCTCTAGAGAACCTTGACTAATACAACAAGCAAGAAAGCCTTCTTTCGAAGTTCCCTGGAGAGCCTGCCTCAAGGAGACAGTGACCAATTTATCTATAGGATTCCTCCAAGATATTGCCTAGACTAGCTGCTTCTGTGAAACAAGGACCAGAGGGAAAACAGAATTCCAAAGACAGGATAGGGCCCAGGTGCTGACCTGTAGTACCAGCCTCCACATCAGACGGGCTGCCAGCATTTGAGCCACAAAAGCCAAAACACTCTGGTCCTTGGGCCTAGCTATGGGTCTTTGTAAAAGCAAAAGCCTGATAGGCAGTTTCTCATAAGCCAGATCCGAGGACCAGTCATGAGGCTGGGGCTTTTGAAAAATGAAAAGTAATTTTCAAAGTGCTACTGAACACTTTGCAAGATGCTGGCCCAAGGACCTGAGTGTATAATAAAGCAGAACACAGTGTCATGCTTGAGAGGACCACAGCACACTATAATGGCTGGGACCAAACAAGACAAAGAAATTGTCCCCAACACAGGTCACACTGTCCTCAACATGAATGAACTCAGAAGACCTTTCCTGACAGGAGGTGGTAACAACTTCATGCCTATCTTCATCTGCATCTAAGTCAAGCTGGTTTGACTCTTGTTAAAGGCATGCAGGTACCTGTTTTTCTCTGACTCCTGGGTTCCACACAATCAGAAGCTGTGCTCATTCACCCTTTCCCCATCACTCACGAAGCTGAAAGCATCTGCTAGGGCCCTCTGTATTTCTCCCTTTCTGTCTCACAATGTACTTGTGTAGCTAGATAACTGAGCCTCTCTCAGGACATAAACTTCCTGAAGGAGTCTCAAGAATTTAGGTTAAGGACCGAGTGAGACTTCGCTTCTGAATCCAATTCTGGCAATTCACTAACGCTATACTGCCGTGTGGGGTGTTGGATCATCTCTGCTACTTCCATTCCTAGCACACCCACAGTAGACAGTAACTACTTCCCAAATAAGACAAGGCACAGGGAACAAATGACACCACTCATGAGGCATTTGTCGCACATGCAGTACATGTCAACACAACGATGTTCAAGGTGGATAAACTAAACAGCACAACATAAACCATGGTCCCTTTGTTTCCACCTCTACTGACTCTTCAGCAATTGAGTTTGTTTCTTCTGAAATGTTTGCTAAGCCAAGCTTGAGAAAGAAGCAGAAAATACCAAAAAAAATTTACAAAAATCTTACCTGGCCTAAAATAGCTGAAATGAGAGAGGTTTTTCCACTTCCCACACTGCCACAGATTCCAACCAGTTTGCCCTGGACAAAGAACACAGAGAGAGGAAGGACATCAAGAGAATGTCAGCCATTCATCCAAAGAACTTGCAATTAGTCCACCAATACAGAGTCCCAGAAGGGCTCTGGAAACATTAATTGCCACACAGATTACAATACACCACAATCACTTTTACAAAGCCTCTTGCCAACTTTGCAAGCAGCCTAAGATATTTTTGTTTTTTGTTTGTTTTACTCACTTTACATCCTTGTTGTAGCCCCATTTTCCCTCCCCTCCCAGTCCCACATTCCCCCCTCCTTTTCTGAGGAAAAGGGGAGCTCCCTTTCCATCCATCCCACCACATCAAGCTGCATCTGGACTGAGCATGTCTTCTTCCCCTGTGGCCTGGCCTGGCATTCCTGCCAGGGGAAAGAGCTAGTAAGTTAGTCCCTGTGCAATGCAGTCCCCACTTCCCTTACTAGAGGACACCTAAGGTTTTTGATTTGTTATTTTGCAAGGCAAGATTATTTATTTAAAATTATTTTATTGTAATTTTTATTCATTTTATTTTTAGTGAGAACTGCATGTAGTATTATATCCGTTTGGTTTTTGCGACAGGGTTTCTCTGTGTACCGGTGGCTGTGCTGGAATTCAGAGCTCCACCCACCTACGCGTGTTTTGCCTTCATACCGTCTATGCACCATGTGTGCCAGGTGCCTGCAGAGGCCAGGAGAGGGCGTTAGATCCTCTGGAATTGGAGTTACAGTCAGTTATGAGCCACCTGTGGGGGCTGGGCATTGAACCCAGGTCCTCTAGAAGAGCAGCCAGTGCTCGTAACCTCTCAGCCATCTCTAAAGCCATCAGTGGATTTTTAAAGAGCCACTTGTTTGGCAGTCCTATGTGATAGTGATGACGTCCCCTCGAGAAAGAGGGAAGGTAGGACAGTGGTGCAGAAAGATCCCACACTCTACACGCAGGCAGTATGTGACTACAATTTCAACTCTACCCGCATCTGTGTGTCTCAGTGTTCCACACCAACCCTGTGCCTGTTTCCTTCACTGTACTCTGCGCACTGAAGCATTGCTCACTGAATCAAGCATTGTATTACAAAATGAAGAGTAAGTTTCAACTGAATATGAGAGGCTGTTATCTTCAAGAGATGACTAATGATACAGAGGTTTCGGTAATCAGTAAGTTATCAAATAAGAAACCTGCTGCTAAGAATGAAATAAAAACCAACAATGACCTGTAAGTGATAAACTGACAGTTTCAGGAGACCACCAAGGATTGTTGCTTACGGCTGCTAAGAGCAGGAAGCTTTCTGTGTCTCCTTAGTCTACCTGTGGATCTGCCTGAGGTGCTACTAGTCCGTGGCGCTGCTGCTGTCCCCTGCACGAGAGCTTCCCGCCAGCATTGCACATGAGCACTGCTTACTACCTCTGTCTCCATCACCTTTGGCGGAGACTCTCCCATCTTTTTCCTGCACTAGAAGCCCCTTAGGGCTCTCCTTGTTTCCTGCGTTGTCTCTGCATGATCTTCTGAACCCTGCAGGTGATGTGTAATCACAGCTACTTTCACAAATCCTCTCGGGGTGAAGTCAGAGTGTCATGAGAGGCTCAGCTACTCTGTAACTTCAGGGCTGCTATCATTTCTCACACTCCCCTGCCCCAGTAACCAGCACACTCCAGATATAGACTTCCATGCTTCTGCTCTTTAGCAATGTCTCCCCTAGACAGACTCACAGCTCACTCTCTCAGACTCTGCTCAAATATTGCTCTTTCCTTCCCTTCCTCCTCCCCCTCTCAATGGAGTAGTACCTGTTTATCTGCCATGCAAACTCCCACCACCTAGACTGTCACCAGGTATCCACGCTGGCCTAAAACTCAGCGATCTACCTCAGCCTATCCCAAGATAGGACTACAGACATGCACTACAAGCCGGGCTAAAACGTTCTTCAAACAGGGTCTTTCCTAAGGAAACATGTTGAAAATGCAAACACGACAGACCCTGTCCCCACTCCTTTACCATACTTTGCATAGTCCTGATACAGTGTGCTTCACTTGCTTATTGTCTATATCTGTCCACTAGGAATGGAAACTCCAGAGAGGGAGCTTTGGCTGTAGGTTTTGCTGCTGTGTTTGCTCTCGAACCTTCAATAGTACTTGGTGTAAAGCTAGTACTTAAAAAAAGAAAAAAGGCTATTGAATGAATGTGTGAATGTCCATCCGGGGATCCCAGATCATATGGTCCTCTAAGCATGGGGCTAGTTCCCAGTCGTAGTCTGAATCTTAATTAAGGCTTCAACCTGCAATCGATGTTCTAGCCACTCTCTGAGAGTCCAGGTCTGTACTAGCTGAATTATAATATAATATACCCAAATCACCCTTTACTTATGCTAAAAAAAGATCACAACATAGTTAAGAGGAACACTGAGGGCTTGTTGGTTAAGAGCACTGGCTGCTTTTTTTTCAAAGGTCATGTGTAATCACAGCTATTTTTGCAAATCCTCCCAGGGTGAAGTCAGAGTGTCAGGAGAGGCTGAGTTCAGCCCCTAGCACCCACATCAGGAGGCTAAACCACTTATAACTTCAGCTCCAGAAAATCTAACACTGGTCTTCCAGCCTCCACTGGCTCCTGCACTTATGTGCACACACCTATAAACAGATACGTAAAATTAAAAATAAAGAAATAAAGGTAGCACTCAGAATAGTTTTTATATGCCAACTTCTCTGCGATGCACAACCTGGTGTAATGGCTACAGCAATGGATGTGATTATAACGGTTCACATACAGCATCACAGCAGAAACCCACACAGGACAGGCTTCGTCTACCTATTAGTAGGATGAGCATCTCATGAGGTCATCAGTTATTCATTCTGGGCTCAGTTTGGAATCAGAGCCCAATCTGAATCTCTTGATTCAGGACTCACAGCCAGAGTACTCTGTTTAAAGAAAGGATCCTGCCAGAGTAGAGTGGGGCAATACAGGGGACAGCGGGGTTGGGGTAAGGCAGGTGGCTCACCTCTTCGATTTCCAAGTCAACATTGTACAGTGTCCTCTGCAGACGCGGGCTCCCTGCGTGGATCTGCTTGCCTTCTTCCTCTTCCGGACTGGGCCGCTCATCACTATCCAGAAGGAGATGTCCTTTCTGCTCTGCCAGCACTGCCTGGTGCTCAGTGTGCTGCAGCTTCCTCGACTTCTCTTTCTTGCCCCTGGTAGCCCTCTTGTCTTTTTTCATTTTAGGGGTCAGCTTGGGCGAGTTCTGTATACTGGAGTGGGAGGAGTCCCATGCCAAGGTGGCATTTTTCATCTCTATCTTGATGTGAGGGCTGGCCGGTTTGTTCTTTATCATGTGAACCTCTTCCATTAGAAACAAACTCTGATAGGAGTTGTGAGAGAGGTGCAAAGATGAGACACTGGATCAAGACCAGGGAGACAAGCTTATGGCGTACACTCACGTAGCAAAACACATCAGGCTATACAGTGGAAGGAAGCTGAAGAGCAAAAGGTAGCTCATTAGTGTGGCCTCGCCTCAGGACCAACAAGGGGGCTCAGGGCCTCGTCCACTGACCCGACCCTCTATTCTAAGTCACACACTAAGGTAGCCCTGCTTTCCGCGGACCAAAGGACATTTCTCAACTGACAGGGATATGGTGCCCCTCGTACAGTCACTCGTAGGTTCCAGAGTAACGGTTAAGGAAGCAAGGGGGATGCTGACCCTTTACAATGACATCACCATGCCACTGACCATAGCTTGACCTTCCAGACCACTTCTGCAGAGCTGAAGCATGCATACTGTCCTCACTGACAGCTTGACACCTAGTGAGAGGCTAAAACTGGCACCAGCTTAATTGCTGGGTTTGGAAAAGACCCACACTAAGGGCACCTCCCCGATAATCACTCCACGAAAGGAAAACTAGAGTCTTCTCTCCATTCACTTTCAGAGTTCAACTGAGTTATTTCAAAGGGTAGGAAAAGGCAACATCAAACAGGGAAGTGTCTCCAAAGTGAGATTTGAAATTTGCATTTTCTAGTTTGTACTTGGACCCTTCTTAAACCAGGAGATCTTTAGAGAGCACTATCACAGAGGGATTTTCAAAATGTTTTTCTTTTAAATTAATTTAAAACATTAGAAAATCTTAAAAGAAAAGATGACTTGCAGGACGAGGTCTGCTTAGTGACTACATACCCTGCTGGCTTGAAGTCTGCAAGAACCAGCAAATGGAATATACAATCCCCCGCCCTCCTGGATCCCGGGGTCTGCTTTTACGAAGGGTTAAAAAAGGCTCTCACTGAACTGAATAAGGACAGCAACAGACATGCTGACACAGAAGGGGTGGGAGAGCCCCCCAGGCCTCACGCCTACACAAAGAACTACAGGCAACTAAGGAATTCTAAGAGATGGAAAAACAGTCCTCCCAGGGAAGAGCACACCAATTGGTTATTCATACCAAACGGTCAGCTCTAAAAACATATGTATAAGTGACTTTATTCAGACTGAGCAGGTTGTTTTTATGTATTTAGGAACATATATATGCATACACATACATACAGATATACATATATGTATATAATAGCAATTAATAAGAGGCCATAAATTTGAAAGACAGTAACAAAGCGTATATATGAGGGTTTAGAGGAAGGAAAGAGTGGGGGAAAGTATGTAATTATAATCCCAAAAATAAAATAATTAAAATAAACAAAAATGAACAAAAAGAAAGGATCTCAAGCTCACCTCAAGCTCCCTAGGCACCCAAGAATTACCTGAGCCCTAACCCTCCTACTGCCACCTTCAAGAGCTAGGATCACAGTCTCTCTTCACGTAAACCCAAATGTGTCCCTAAAGCTTAGGTGTCTGTGAATGGCTGTGGGATTCATATGTCCAGAGCTTTCCTAGAAACAGGGATGAAATAACATCAACCATTCTGATCACCTTCACAGAACAAAACCACATATGGATAGAATGCACACCATTTCGTTCCCTAAAGATCCAGTAAAAGGATGAACTGTTCAGGCTTATTACAACTGAGATGTGCACCTGCCAGGACAAGCGGGGTCTCAGAGGCACAGAAGCCACAAACCTCACTCCCCAGGAGGATGCTGCCAGCTGACACGGCTTCCTAGCCCCACAGTGAAGGGTACACCAGTAAGCTCAGCACCTGGGAGGCCAAGGCTGGAGAACTATGCATTAGCGGCCAGCCTCAAAAGCAAAAGCAAACCTCTGTCCAAACTAAGGAGGACATCAGAAGACATAAACCATAAGGTGTCCTGTTGAGAAGAGGGCTCATGGGGCTGCCACATACAACACAACACTGTTACACTAGGATCCGTTAGATTTTAAAGAACCACTTCTCAGTATATACATGCCTGTGCTACCTGCTGATACGTGCTCTCAGTACGGGGAGAAACTTCAAAGAGAGAGAGGGCACAAAACTATTTTTTGTCCTTATTTCTTTATCCAAAACTCAACAAAATCCATCCACCAAGGATACAAAAACAAACAGGAAGAACTTTGGTCAGAATATTGACTTTCTACCATGACTGGATATTGTGGCTTTAGTGAGAGAAAGCTCTGAGACCATCATTACATCAATCATACCTATGTCATTCTGGTCTTTGTCTTTTGAGCAGCAGGAGGGGAGGAGGAATACAAAACAAAGGGGTACATTCTGGAAGAATAGTTTTCTTGGCCCAATGCAAGTCATTAACTGCATTGAGCCTGATTAACTGTAAACAGAAACAACTGAAGTAAATTCCAGCAAACTACTCTCTATCCTCACAGGGATGCCTGCTGTTTTTCCTGGGTCTCTAAGATAGTGACAGTCACCCTTCAAATGCTGGGCTCCAACTCTTCACATCACCTCGCTGGCTGAGGAAGACCATCAGGGTCCTGTCAATGGATTCCAGCCCACAGGGTGCTTATCCTTTTAGTAACCAGTGTCAACCACTTTCAAGTAAGTGTCTACTCCCTCCACCCTCCCAGGTTGCTCCCTCTGGTGTTGCATTATTCCGAAGGTACAAAGGACACAAAAAGGTCTGGTCAACTAACCACGCAAGGAAAAGAGCTGATACTTACTTAACTGTACTTCTCAACATGATCTAGTTTTATGACTATTTCCATGTCACTGCATTCCCTGCCTCATGTAGTGGCAATCACTGGGTAGGAAAAAGAAATATCAAAAGGACTCAGCATAGCAACCAATCCAAGTGGCAGCAGGAATGAGGAAGGGGTTGGGGGGTGGACAGCCACCTGGCTGTGCTGGTCTTCTACCTACATTTAAGCCACTTAAAGGCCGAGTAATTGATAATACATATCCATGTTGGGCCTGGCAGAGGGAGCACAGCCCAGAACCAGGCCAACCAGGAGAGATAAAAATGCAGATTAATTTTAAAAGGTATTGCTCTCATCTCTTAATTCAGTTGTCTCTACCATCTCCTTAAAGCAAACCAGAGTCAAGTGCAGCTGGCCTATATGGACTCTCGGAATACAGGCAGTATCGAGCTGTGCCAAGGAGAGCTCCTGAGGCGGGAAAGGGGCAAGGAACCACTTACCTTAAATCTGTCAACAGCAACCGATGCTTCAGAGAGGGACTTCACTGAGAAGGGTGTTACTTTTAAAGCAAAAGTCATGGAATTGAAGACAGTCACCACTGTGAAGGCCTTAAAACACAAAAAGAAGTGAGAGCAAGCCTCGTGAGGTTGCACACTAGACAAGCAGTGCCATCTCCTTTCGGGTGGGGGGAAGGCTGTAACTAACAAATGTTAGTGCAATCAGTTTCACTAACATACCCTGTTTTGTGTGCAGATACATTCCTGTCTGTGACACAGTGCAAGCGTGGAGGTCAAAGAACAACCTGGAGACTTTCTCTCTTTCCCCCATGTGGGTTCCAATTACTTGACTCGGGGCATTAGGCTTGGTGGCAAGCGCCTATTCCCACTGAGCCATCTAGTCAGGCTCAGTCACATGTTTTATTTTTTAACTGTGTGTGTGTGTGTGCGCGCGCGCATGCGTGCACTTGAACATGGTGTCCTCAGAGCCCAGTGGTGTCAGATATCCTGGAACTGGAGCAGCCCAGTGTGGGTACTGGAAATGGAACTGTAGTCCTCTGCAAGAGCAGTACATGCTTTTAACCTTGGGGCCATTTCTCCACCGCATATTTCTATTTTAAAGGTAAGCTTTTTGTTTTTGTTTTCAATGAGACTTTCATCTAAAATTCTTAATAAACATGAAACACAGGTTCTTCTGTGGTTACAAAATTAAGCCCAAACCCAGACTGACTGAAATTAAGTCACAATATTCCTGCAGAAGGGATAGATAGCTCCTTATCTTCCACTTCTCATCTTAAAGACAGGAATGAAAAAAAAAAAAAACCTAATTCTTAGCAGCAGTCCGAATGAAATACCAAGTGGAGCAGACTTGATCCATACACAGTGTTTCTAAAATGGTCCCCACCCGAGTGTTGGCTTACCTGTGCTGCAGTCAGGTCAAATCCCAGGGTCATGTGAACAGAGAATGTCACCACACTGGCAATCACCACAACAATAGGAGCCACTCCAACGGTGATGCTCTGAAAGTACCCTGCTTTTTCCAGTATCCGACGCTCCTCCTCTCGGATTTCTATGAAAAAGCAATCCATCTTCACAGCAAGTCAAAACATGCTTTGGGATAGTTAACCCACCACCAAACAAGAATCACGTTTCAACTACAAATAAGTCTTCTGTTGTTGTTTTCTTGTCTGTTTGTTTGAGACAGGATCTTGCTATGTAGCCTAGGCTTATCCTGAAATGAAGGTTTTCCTTCTTCAGCCTCCCAAGTACCATGATGCGGGTACACACAGGTTTTTAAAGGATTCTTTAATACCAATGATGTAAAAAAAGAGAAAATCAGTTTAATAAGACTACTAATTCAGGTTCTGTCTGTTCTGTAGATTGGACCTAGCGCCTTGTGTGTGCTAGGCAAGCCCTACACAGCCCCAGCCCTAGGACTATCAACTCTGCCACTACAGCTGAGGTGTGAGTTGTAGCGGGTCACAAGGAGAAATCTAAAAGAAAGCAGTTGCAACGCTAGTACACTGGTCAACTGCCTTTAAGGCTATTGGGTTTCACCGAAGCGAACATTTTCCTTGCACCTACACCTGGCAGCTTTCTTTCCTTATCTGGTCACTGCTAATTATTTACTCTGGGATTGCTGAACCACCTTATAAGATGAAGAGTCCAGATAAGCTCCTGGAGACTTGTTTAATCGATAACCAAACCAGCTGCCTTGATATCAACAGAATCATCTACTTAAAACTGTATCAGCTGTTTACAACACTTATAGCCAGTTACTATGTCATTAAGTCCATTAACAGCCCATATTTATTTTTTACTGAAATAAAGGTTTTAGATAGATAGATAGATAGATAGATAGATAGATAGATAGATAGATAGACAGATAGATAGATATTTTTTTCTCCTTCTTACATGCTACTGTTTTTAAGGCCCCGCCTTCCCATCCATGTTCAGACCTGTTTGAATGTTAGTGTCATGCTAGTTACCCTGACAGGCCTGCGCTAGACATACTTCACATACACCAAACTTAAAGCTGTGAGTGGAGCCAGCGCTGACGACCTTGTAACTACATCAATTAATCATCTTAAAGGGTAAGAAAACAAGTCCCTAGTGAGTAACAGAAGCAGTTGCCGAGTCCAGGCCTCTTGAAGCCCAGTTCATCCTTCAGGGTCAAAAAACCATCCCTGGCACCTACGCATCCACAGAATAGAAAGGCTTAAAAGCAGAGCTCTTGGCAATCACCTGATACTGCCTTCTGCAATAGCTTTTAGCTGGGCCAAAAATCATGTATTGGGTAAGAGAAGAATTTGAATATCTTATTATAGCTAGATTTGTACATATTACTGTAACTAGCTATGGCACCTTGGGCAAAGTCATGGTTTCCCGGGTTCAAATTCCTTTTGAACATAAAAGATACTAGACAACAAAAGTCTATGTCTATATATGCTCAGGAAGCAAAGTTGGTTGAATGAATGAAAGAATGAACGAATGAATGAATAAATGAACAGGCCCAAAGAATCCAAAATCGCACACACTACCATATAAACAAGGGAAATCTTTAAACTTACTTTGAACACTCTGAGAAAACGCTTTGACCCAGGCATACATTTTAATAAATTTGATGTAGGTGAGAACTTCATTCATCTTCTGGACACGGTCATCTGTAGCAGCTACACACTTCCTCCTGAAATACGCAGTGAGCCTCGACACGAACATCTGGAAGGAAAAGCAGCACCCTGTCTGAAGCACCCCTAGATCTGCCTCACACAGGCACATGACCCTGTTCCTGGGACAAACCGGGGTAAGAGATCTCTAGAGTTACAAACTCTTTAATTCTCATCTCCTTGTGGGGAAATGAAGACAATTAACAGTCAGTTGACATGCGCGCCACCATGGTGGGATCAGGACAGTCATGTCAATACCAGCTGGAGTAATTCAAATCAATCACACCTGTGTTACATCTGGGTAGGGTTCACCTGGAGCCTTCTACTCCACCCAGACTCACTCTCCTTTTGTGGCTCCTGCCTTTTACGCAAATGACATCTTACTTCCTCTCAAGGCCAGTGAATGTGAAATGAGCACTATCTAGCACCAGACTTTTCCAACTAGGTGCCTTCTTTGAGAAAATTTCCAAGGATGTGTTTCAATAACCCGGTAGAAGCACTTTGTCCCCTTCTGAGAAGCTACCAAGATACAGCAAAGAGGTTCACTCACCATTGCTGGATAAAAAAGGATAAACACAGCTGATCCCAGGAAGCCCGTTGGTCCTAGAATGATTACATTATAAATCATGCCCAAGATGGCAACAACAGGTCCTCCGGCCAGCAAGCTGCCCACAGCGGCTGCCTCAAACATCCTCTGCCCATCATTGGAGCAGATATTGATGAGCTGTAAGATAAGACAAACAGTTTGGGACCATGTAGGGCACCAGACACTGTATTCAGGAGGAAGGTCAAGGACAGAGCAGGGCTAAAGAAAAGATAAACTCAGACTGAGAGCCTGCTCTGGCTACAAAGCATAGGCTCTGAACTCACCTCACCCAGGGACTTTTCCTTAATGTTCTTTAACTTCAGGATCTTCTTGAATGCCATGGTCAGAACAGCCCCCCGCAACCGGACACCAGTTCGGTAATTCAATGCCCAAGTCAGCGCAAGCGACCAGGAACGTACAACCTCTGTCAGGAGGAGGCCTAGCACTAACAGCAAGCTGTACTGCAGGTTAGATTCTGTTGCTTGGGTGTACTCCAAGAGGTGTTTCACCACGAACGCCTACAGGGAGAAACACACCCCACTGTCAAGATCCCCCAAGGCGACCCCACTCGATGCCATGGTGTTATGTTAGGTTAGAAAGAGCAGGCTGCTCCGCCGCACGGTGATCAGCGTGTGAGCACAGGAAAATTGTGTTGTTGGGCCAAATGCTGCTGGCAACCTGCCCACAGGGGCAGGACAGGGGGATCGTTTGCTTTTCTCCTGAGGGGCGCCATCATGACCATTACTCTTTCTAATGTAACATAAACCTGTCCATGAGCTGAAATTAATGCTAAACACATGGTCATCCAAAGGTATATATTGACCTTATTCCAGTATCTTCACACATGGCTACATTTCTTTAAATGAAATCAAGACCTTGCTCTGTATCCTTCACACGTGCGTATTTGATAGAAATGAACAGTGTACCTACAGTTGTACGGGGAAGAGTGAGAAGTGCAAAACATCCCTGAAAACAAACATGGGCAGTTTAATAGGACAGAGAGAGCAAACAAAGCAGGCTATCAAACTCCAGAGACCCTCCCTCCAGCCTCCCCACTCCCACTCCCTCTCAAAAACAAAAACATGTTACCTCAGGGAGCATTTGTCTAACACCACCTGCGGGGAGGGAAGACAGCCAGCCCCCAAGAACCACGTGCCACCTCCAGCTCTGAGGTCCTGCAACGCCGGAGCAACACTCACACAGGCACATTCAGCAACAGCATTAAATACCAGAAAGTGGAAAGCAATGTACTTTTATTGAAAATGAAATATATAGATAGAAATAATTATAAAGATACCATCTTCAAAGAGCATCTCACAAACACTGTACAATAGCAGGGCATTAGGAACATACAGTGGAAACATACAGAGTCGTACAGGGATAGCATCACACAGATCGTCTGGCCTTCGGCGTGTAACTATACACAGTAGAAATACACAGTGGAGCCGGACCTGCTTCCAGAGTCTGAAGTAGTATAGTACATCAGGCTGGCAGCTTTCATCGGGTGGGAATCCTGAAGCTGCAATGAAGGAGATTCTCTAGCAATAAAGACCTTGCTGTTAGAAGAAAGAAGATTAAGGAAAAAAAAAAAAACAACTAAACTAAACTAAAAATTCCCTAAAGAAGAGCCCTGCTTAAGGCTGCAGGTGCTGCTGCTGTGCTAAGCTGTGAGACAACACTCTCTCCAGACAGAGTGCAAAGTTCTAGGCCTGCTGGGGCAGGGTGTTGGCATCCTTCGGAGTCTTTTCAAGGGCCGGCAGCTAAAATTGATGCTGGCAAAAATCAAACCAAACTATGACAAAAGAATCCCCGCCTTAAAGGAAAAAAGAACTTAAACTCATGCACCCATCTATCCTGCTTCCTAGAGCGTGGAGTCCTGGCTGGGGCTGAAAACGACTATAGGCATACAACAGAAGCAGGCCTGTCATCCTGAAGGGCCTAATCCTAAATCCTGAAACCCAGATTCTGGGGTAATTCATCTCTTTTGGTTTTCCTGAAAGAAACTTAACACCAAATTGTCTACTAGGTCCCAGGAGGTCCCCACACATAGGTTCATGTCGGAGCCTGAGAACTGGGTCCTCCACCTCTACCTCCCTCAGAATGCTAACATCCAATGTTTGGTCCTCACTGCACACATTGACTAGCAAGAAGATTGGCTTCTTTTCCAGTATGCATCCAAAATGTGGAACTGGGTCACAAGGCTGAAGCCCCTCCTCCTCTGGTGAAGCAACTCAGCAGGATGGCCTGTGGTGAAGCACTTTCCCACACACAGCAGCAAGGTGGAACAGTCTCCAAGGAACGACAGCAGGTGTTGTTTGGGTTCCTTCCTTCCTATACCTTTAGGGTACCCCTTTTCAGCACTGGATAAGCAATCAGCCCCTCCCAGAAATGAGGAGAAGGGAGAGTGAAAGACAGAAGCATATTTACACTATGCAAAACTTTCAAAGGGGAAAAGAGGAAAGAGGGAAAAATGTCCAACACAGGTTTTAAAAAGCAACGACATTTCAAATGAGCTTGTATGGGAGAAAGAAAAGCAGGTTTGCATGAAAAATCCAAACAAATTCGGTTTTTAAAAAGTCATAAGTTTATCATTTAAGTCTAAGCTAACTGGGAGGAAACTGGAGATGGTCAGCAGAGCTGTCTTGCTGTGGAAAGCATTCCCAGTGAATAAACTTTACCTTACCTGAGCTCTTGGCAAGAGATTCCGCACAGCTTGACTCTCTCATTCTGACCGCAGAATACAGCCATCCTGAAAATTCTAAAGAACAGCTTCTGTCACTGGTCCCACTACAGAGATACTCCCCCCAAGTCCAGATCCTGACAGCGTCAAGCAAGCTGTGGCTGGAGAGAGGTTGGAGGGTGGGAACTTACCTCTCTCAAGGCTTCTCAATATCCTTTTCCCTACAAGGCCTGGGGCAGAGTTAGCACTCACTAAGAGACTTCACTGCGGAAGGCAGCCTTCTCTTACAGGCCTAGGGCAGGTGCTAACTCTTCAGACACAAATCCTAGGTCTGGCCTGGACTTCTAAACTAACTTAGTCTAAGAAGGCCCCAAAGCACCTCTGTAAACATAGTGAATAGGTTCTGCGCTTGGCTTATAAATTCTGGCACTGTGCTGCCATCACCTCAATCCTGGGGCACTCTACACAGAATGCTAGTTGCCAGCATCATCAGAAGGCTGGACTATTCTGAGGTCAGTATCAACTGACCAAGTTTAAAAAGCACACATACAAACACAACTTGATTGTGTTTCATTTGTTCTGCGAGACCTAAAAGGACATTCCATATATAAGGCCTACAATTTAGGGTAAGATTTGGTAAGAACAGAACAAGCCAATCTGAAAATCATGCCCAATTAGAAAATGTGCAAAAATGTTAACATTGGATTTTCCTCAAAAAGACCCATATGTCCACTCACAGGAGGCTTACTTACTGCTAATGCTAATTTCAAAATTTCCCCTGAAACCAGCCCAATTCTCCAACTTCCAGGCAAAGAAGAACTTATCAGGATTAGAGTTCCAAAAAAGAAGTCTATATTGTTTACACTTTCCCATCTTTTTCACAGAAGCCCACAGCTCTCTCGGGTCTACTGACTTTCAGGGTTCTTTAGAGCAGGGGGAGACCAAGTGACCCTGAGGCGCCCCGGCATCCATGGCCCGCTAGAAGTGTTCTCCAGGGGCTAGCATCCCACCCTGCTGCATCAGAAGGGAAAGACTTAACCGATGCTGGAGGGGGTGGCCGTCCCAACATCAAAGTGAGCATGCACTTTGCAATTACTTTTTCTGGAGGAAAAATTTAATCCCTGCAATCTGTGACATATTGTTTTTTAAAAAGGGGGGAATTAAGAAAGCCCATGGTGATTTTATTGAGAACTGCTGGATACTGCACTACCCAGATGAAAGCAGTCTGTGAAGTGTCAGAGCGGCCACCAGCCCTGTAGTGAAACAATGACAGAAGCTCTTCTTGGGGGATGCTGGCTCTGTGAAACATTTGCCATTTTGGCTTATAACATTTCCATTACATGGTCCCTTTCATTTAAAACTTACATACAAGTGTTAGTTGGTCAATTAAAAACCTAGTATCAAAACTTTTTTTTTAAAGGATCATACATTAAAAAGAAGAAGAGGAAAAAAGCCACCTCTGGAGTGTAAATTAGTTTTACCTAGTCACCATGCATCGCAGACACATACTTACCTCACCTCCCGCTTCCCACACGGGGAAAATGCACAGTCTAAACAGTACTACTGCTCCGATGCCTCAAGGCAAATATGCAAAGAATGAATTCAATCACAATCTCAAGTGTCAGGCAGCACAGCAGATGCAAGAAACAGTGCCTGCAAACTCCTGTCCAAAGCTCCCTTAGCTACTACGCTGTCTCCACACAGCTGCCAACCCGGTGCTTGCCACAGTTAACATTGTATGCAAAACTTGAAATGGCCTCTCAAACACCCTGGTAGGTTCCTGGCTTCTTCAGGGATCATCTGACACAGAATCAGTAAACATAGCAGCTATGTCTTCAGGCACCTGGTATGTCACCAACACAGGCTTGCTAGCCCATGCCACACAACACTCAGCTCACTCACTCACAGCACTGCCAAGACATGGCAGGCCTGACCGAGACTGTTGCTTTGTATCAGCACATGACCAAGAAGCAGGTCCTGTGCAGAACCAGTTCAGATTCAGCCCCAAGAAAGCAAGCCAATGGTTCTTCTGGGAGTCTGTGTCCTCACTGTTCTAGCTGACAAGCCACCGTTCACTCTCAAATCCCCTGATCCTAAGCATCTCAAAGGCTGCTAACTCCCCCCCCCCCCAAAAGATCATAACCTCTGCAACAGAACAAGAGGGTTAGAGCTGGCCATGGCCGGGCCCCTGGACATTTCAGAAAGGATGGTTAGAACTTACTGGTCCACTGAAGCCAGCCAGCTGGGTGATCATCAGGCACACGATGGAGAGGATGAGCCTGGTGCGACAAAAGATCCACACAACCCTTCGCAGGGAGGCGGCGGCGGGCCCAGCGTCATTCAGCTCTTCTTGCCACAGTCTCTCCAGTCTTAACAAGGGCACATGTCCTCCGTTACACACCTCCCCAGGCATGGACACACCCTAACCCCTTCCTGCCACCACAGGCATCTTTTAAAAGTATGCACATAGCCTCCAGCTTGTGGACAGAAACCCCCTTCCTGGAACTTCTGAAACACAAAAGCAAGGAGAGGAGGAGCCTCTCCTTCTTCCTCAAAGTCTGTGGATAAAGCCATCCTTTCTGGAGGGCCTCTGACCCTTCCTGAAGGATCCTTTGATAAAATGCAAAGCTACAACTAGATTTTAATCAGTCAGCTACCAAAAATGTACTCTGTCACAAGGCAGTAACAAAATCTCCCTGGAGGCTCAGGAAAAGAATCGGGGGCTGAGAGAGAGAGAAAGCCCTTGATTAAAACACAATCAGAGCAAAACAGAGATGAGGCAATGGAAAAAGAGTCCACAGGCTGCCCACTCCCGGCTGAGGGTCTTAGAGTGTATGGAGCTTTAGAATCCACACTGCTGGCCCACCCATCTAGCATCCAGGATACAGGGTGGACCAGAGACGCCTACCTTCTGCAGTTCACATCAGAAGACTCATACTTGGACAGAGACCACACATCCTCCATCAACAGCTCCCCCTTCTTGTGAACCACTCGGGCCAGAGGAGAAAGCCATGAAAAGGTCATGTAGGAGAAAAGTCCAGCATTGTCCACTGGGTGCTGGTGCCTAAGGAGAGAAAAATCCAACCACAAGGTGTCAACACATCCTGAGAGGCTGAGTAGGTGAAGACACTACTTGGTAAATAGCTCTGGACACACATCTCCCCAACTGTCCTTGCTTTAGCAGTTTCAAAACTGCTTTTAGTGCTTTGTGGAGGAATCATTAGCCAACAAAGCCTTACTTTGAAGTGGTCCGGAAGGGCTTCAGGGCACTTAAGCCATGGTGGTATTTTCCCTTGGTATGCTCCTCGTCCAGAATTCGGAGATGAGAATGCACAGAGACATCCAGAGAAAGGCCCTCAACTCGGGCTGCTGTTTCTAGGGCATCTTGGCATTCCAACTGCAGTGGGAAGAACAATTAATGAAAATTAATACATATAGAAGAGAGGCAAATCCATTTGACTATAATTCAAAACACACCTATAGCAAATCATTTCCCCAGCATTGGAAACCCCCAGGACATAAGGTTAGACACTAATCCTGCATGCTAAGAGCCCATTAAGGAACCTTCAACCAGGCACTAACAAATACACATTCAAGCAGTCTGCCCCTTTGCAGAACCTGACTGATACAGCCACACATTCCAACTACACAGCTTATATGTGCTAACTAATTATACTAACAAAAGCCTGCTTCATACAAGGTGGGACTTAGGACCGGAGGGTGGACACATCTGTTCTTATTTACTCCATGGGGCAGAGTTTATGCATTCCTTGTAGAAGCTTCACTTTCCTTGGTTTCCTTCTTTCCTTTTTCTCTCTGAGCAGTGAAATTCACATTGTCACAAGTATTTCTAGTAATTATGATGAGACAGTGACAAATAACAGATTCCCCAATAAGCACAAAGTAGTATAGAACTTGGCACACCATGCCTCACACAAAACAGTCTCTAACTGTATGTCACCTCCTTCCCAGAAACTACAGAGGCAACTCAAAAACTAGAATAGAGAATGTTCTGTGCATAGGAATAACTTGGAAGCCTGGGCTAATCAAATCTGAGAGCTTTAATTAATAGAATAATTATTTATCTTCAGGTAGTAAAATGTCCAGCATCAGGAAATTATACAGTTCTGGGAAACACATTCACTTCCTTTTGTCAATGGAAAAGTAGACTGGATTTCAAGAAAATAAATAATAGCACAAAATGGCAAATGAGTCAAGAGGCTCCTACATGAAGTTTTCACAAACAACTGAATGACTCAAGTCTAAAAAACATGGAATAATGGGAAGAAGAATGCTGGACACAGGTGTGTGATGAAGGTTCTTCTTTCAAGCATAAAACCACACAGAGGAAAAAAAAAAAAACACAAAAAGCTACTGGATTGAGAAAGGAGAAGGGTTCTTGAAGACTGCACGCATGCCTGGACTGAGCACAGGAGGTATGTACACACAGGCACCAGCCTCCCTGGCACAGATGTGACTGCAGAAGGCAGAGGACATTAGCACAGCACTTCACAGGCACACAGAATACTGTCACATTTGTTCCATTTGGCCAGGGAACAGAGCTGAACATTACTAAAGACTGGTGGCATACAGTGTATGCAGTCTTTATCACACTGTAATTTAGGGTTTTGAACAAAGACTACAAAAAAAAAAAAAAAACCATGCTCAGAAGTTACAGTTCCAAATAATGAATTCAGTAAAACCTCATCGTCGGTCGTGGTAAGGGCATGTCTTTAATTCCAGCCTACACTCAAACCACCACACACCTCTTCTAGAAAGGCCAGACTTTCTAATCCTTCCTAAAGGGTCCACCAACTGGGAGACAAGCATTCACTTATATGAGGCTATGGGGCCATCCTCATGGAGACCACCAGAGAGATTGTAGTCCATCAACTAGGAAAGTCAGATCAAGGACTAAAGGCAGGAAGCTGGAGGCAAAAATTGATGCAAAGGCCGCAGAGGAGTGCTTCTTACTGGCTTGGTCTTCATGACATGCCAGGACTACCAGTTCAGGCATGGCACTGCCCACAGTGATCTGAGCCTTTCACATCCATCATTAATCAAGGTCCCACAGGCTGTTGTAGGGCATTTTCTCTACTGAGGCTCCCTCTTCCCAAATGAATCTAACTTACTGAAACAAAATTAGCAGCACAGTACATCATCCACTAGTACACCTACCTGAGGCATTAGCTCTAAAACTGGAACTGCCACATCTTTTACCTCAGTCTCATAACAATAAGTTCCTGAGAAATGCTATATTTAAGACTATTCCAGATGATGGGAAGAAAACATGACAATTCTGATATGTACAACACTTTAATTTCATTTTCTTCATCTCAATTTTTAGCCTTTTGCCTAAATTAAGTGTAAAATGCCTACTGACAGTTTTTTTTTCCCTATTAATAGAAAAGCAAAGGACCCAACAATTTAAAAAGAAATGTGATTGACTGGATTTTGTTTCTTGGACACATTTAGTGATATGTCCCATTTCTCCTACAGTAATGTCATGTCCTTACAGAGAGGTACCACACACAAAGGAACCCTGAAGACTTCAATATGCAGCCCAGGCTGTTTCCTGAGGGTACTCTAACTGCCATAGCGGCATCGGTCGTGTGACAACACGGCCAGCATTTTAGAACATGTACTCCCTATAGTCTTGATCAGACAAAGGCAAGCCATCATAAGCTGGCGAAGATGACACAAATACTCAAATCCTATGTGATAATAATATATGAACAGGGTGTCCTACAGTTAAGGGATACAAAAGATTTTATCCAGAAATTAAAATTTCCCACTGTTGCCTCATTTCTGCTACTCTTTCACAGTTTCAACCCTGTCATGTTAGGCACTGCCCCTGTTAGGGAACAAGAATATGACAGAAAAGACACTCTTGAGAAGAACATGCAGGCACCTGGGAATTTCAGTGGTAGATTTCTTCCAGGTAAGAAGCACCAGATGTTTAGATTCCGTCAAGAACTTTAGAAAAGCTAACGTTAAAAAAAAGGGGGGGGGGGGCTGGAGAGATGGCTCAGCGGTTGTCCTGAGTTCAATTCCCAGCAACCAGATGGTGGCTCACAACCCTCTGTAATGAGATCTGGTGCCCTCTTCTGGTGTGCTGTGAAAACAGAGCATTCACATACATAAAAATAAAAAAAATAAAAATAAAAAAAAGAAAAGAAAAACAACAAAATGCTCAGAGAAAAAGAGTTTCCCTACTATAATAAAAGCCACTTTTCTCTTATGGACTTAAAGGACTGTTCCATGACTAGAGGCCACAGTGACATGCAGAGATGTTGAGCACAGACTTCAGAAGACAGATGCAGCTTCAGCATGTTACTGGCCACTCACGGTTGCTTGATGGTGAACCTAGTACACAGTGCTGAGAGCAATCAAAGTTATGAAAGTACTCGGCAAATATTTAATCCACAGGCTCTAGATTACCTTTATAAGGGCAACATCTCTAGTATTCCCTCCTTCCTTTAACTTATCTGGCCCCCACTCGCCCGCTGTGTATTCCTCGCATCTACTCGACCCTGAATGTGTAACACAGGGTGGTTCTAGTAAGAGTGCCTGGAGGGCAGCCTATCCTACTCCAGTTTGCACACAGAATTTGGCACCTGTTACTAAAATGTCAAAGGCTGCCTCACAGGCAGTAGAGTCAAGCATCTAATGCTATATGATAACTCACTGACAATTAAGACTCTTATTGTTTATGATTAACAGTTGTGCTGGCTAGCTTTTATGTCAACTTGACACAGGCTAGAGTCATTCTGAAAGGCAAATCTCAACTGAGGAAATGCTTCCCCCAGACTGTCCTATCGGTAACCCTGTGGAGCATTTTCTTGACTGTGCACTGCCTGCTGTAGCCTGGGTCCACCACAGTGCCACCCCTGGGCTGGTGGTCCTGGAAAGTGTCTGAGCAAGCCAGTAAGCAGCACTCTTCCATGGCCTCTGCATCAGTTTTGCTTCTAGATTCTTGACCTGAGCTCCTGCCCTGACATCCTTGGATGATGAACCACAAGTAGCAAACTGAAATAAACCTTTTTCTTCTGAAGTTGATTTTGGTCATGGTGGCTTTCCTTTGATCACAGCAATAGATGCCCTAACTAAGAAAACAGTATAATAAATAATTATTGATTTTTTTTCTTTTTGGTTCTATAGACTACACTCTGTCAGCAGGATTAAAAGACTAAAGAATGTAGCCTCTAACAATTACACATCTGCTCAGTTTGCCCCAAGTAACTGCATGACTAAAGATTCAGAACATGTACCTACTATTATTGCAGAAGATCCTATTAACTGCAGTGAATTCCCTATATCTAAGGCTGAATGGAACCAAGAGAAAAACTTTAGCATATTCAAGCAACACGTGCATACTACATGAAGCATAAATGATAAGGCAGATACTGAAGTGTGAGTCAGTCAGTACTTTGGGAACAGTAAATACCCAACTGAGGATGAATGAAGAGGCTCAGGTTTCACACAGTACATTAACCCATTTGAAATTAAGTCTAAAAGATCACATTAATATGATTAAATAAATGGAAGAAAATTAAATACTAGCTTAAGCTGGATGAGATAGCTTCCACTTACCCCCAAAAGCCAAAAACTTATCAAAGACAAACTAGATGCATTTATATATAAAAAGAAAAACGTATTAAATTAAAACTAGCACCAAGCCAGGCGCAGTGGTGTATGCCTGTAATCCCAGCACTCAGGGAGGCAGGGGCAGGCGGATCTCTGTAAATTTGAGGCCAGCCTGGTCTACAAAGCGAGTCCAGGACAGCCAAGGCTACACAGAGAAACCCCATCTTGAAAAACCAAAAGAAAGAGAAACATAAACTGAATTTCAAGATACACCTCCTACCTTAATAAAAGAGAAATCCAATACCAGAAAGGGAGAATTTAAACAAGAGTACACTGTGAGAACACCTGACTGAGTCTCTGTCACTAGAGAAAGGATACTGAAAATAGTTAGCATCTTGTGGATGCCACATCCCCACAATTTCACTGTACAGAGGAACATCTCCAAAGGGGAAAAAGTCATTTAAACCCAACAGCTCTAAGTTACAACACTGCAGCTCAGTGCTGCCAGACAGACACAGAGGAAGCCTTGACCCACATCTGCTCATGCAATTTGAAATCCACTCCATCTTTAAAATAAAGGTAACACTTTAATATCTTTTACTTAACACAACATAAAAAGTTGTGTCACCTTTTTAACATATAATCACTACAACATTACTGGAATTTCTTTAATTAAGTTATTTATTTTCTGTGGTAAATATTTGTATTTTGTTCTTGGGGCGTAGCTCGGTTTAGACTGAAATGTTTCCAATGCTCAAGACCCACATGTGGCTGGTGGCTGCTATACTGGGTAAAAAGTTCTCAAGTGAG